GATCCAGGTTAAAAATTATTCTCTGCTGAGCTGAAAATCTGAAATGTCTGAAGGTGCATGGCTGGGACTGGGTGACGGGAGGGTGGGCAGACACCTCTCACCATTCCCTGATTTTCTCCATATTTTGCCCAGAGGGATTAATTGATGCTTAAAGGGAAGGGAACTGCTGTTTTATGAGTGAAATCTGTTGTCTCATTCATTATTCATTGGGAGGTGATTGGCAGCTTCCAGGCGGTGGGTCACAGGCACTAAAGGGTGAGCTGCTGACTGACAAGGTTAATTGCTGCCTGCCGTTAATGCTGATAACGATTTATGTTGACAATTCCTGGTATTCCTGCCGCAGCCGGGGGTTTGTCACGCGGGGTCAGCCCCGTCCTGCCCCTGCTGTCCCCGCAGCTGGGAGCTCCCATTCCCTCGGCACGTGGGAAGGGATTTTGTTCCCCGAGAAGGTCTCTCATGCTAAGTGATGCAGAAGCAGATTTGCAAAGGCATCCGTTGCTTTTACCTTTCCCCCTTCTTCTTTTTTGCTGTGTTCTTTGCATATTGATCAGGGTTCAGAGCATTAAAGTGAGGCTGGGCTTGGCTCTGCTGATCCCCCTCAGCACCAGCCTCAAAGCTTTGCCTTTCCGGGGGCTCAAGCGAATAGAGATGTGAAAGATTTTTGAGGGTGACCCTTGAAAATACTTAAAAAATGGGAAGGAGTTGTCTTTATTTCTCAGTGGGCTGTGCCACTGAAGCCCAGATCCACCCCTGGGGCTGTGCCTCCACTTTTGGGGTCTGTTTTATCTCTGTAGAAAGGGCAGAGCTCCGACTGTGCTCACTGCTCCCATCCCAGGAACTGCAGAGGTTCCCTCCCTGCCTCGATATAACAAAGCAGAGCCATAAAGATTTAGCTTATTAAACACTGGCCTTTAGGGTGCTCTCAGCTTTTATGGGGCTAATAAGATTTTTGACTTACATGGGAGGGAAGAGGCAAACAGAGCCTTTATGAACCTGGCAGCCTTGTTGGGGCTCCTGCTCCTCTCGCTGATGAAAAGCTGAGGCAGCCTCCAGGCAAGCCACGACAGAGAGAGCTCCTGTGGATGGCTCTTGATGGAATATCCAGGTTTAATTACCTGTCTGATATCAAGCTGTGAGGGCAGGGAGAACTGCCCTGGCTGAGCCTCATGGTCTCTTCCCTCCCTCTGGCCAAAAGTGGGACCTTCCCTTCCTCTCCTGAGACCATCACCACTGCCCCAAACCTGCCCAAACCCCCTTGGTGAGCAGCACCAGCAGCATTGCCCAGGTGTTTGGGTCCAGTTGGGAACTGGTTTTATCATCACAGGCTTTAGGGGTGATAGAGTTGGGGTGTTGTTAGACAGTGGGAGTTTGGGACAGAATCTGAGCAAGAAGGAAGGGAGATGTTGAGTATAAACAGGCATAAACTTCATTATTTTCTAGAAATTATTTATTTAAAATTTAAAACCATATTACTTCATACAGCAAACTGTGCACTTTGATATATCACAGTGTCTTAAAAAGGAAAATAATCAGAATTTTTTCTTTTTTTTTTTTTTATTTTTTGGAAATTGTATTTACATCAGCCTAGAATGATCAGCAAGTAACACAGTTACTATGAAACCAAAATTGTTACAAAATGTTTACAAAAAACTATATTCATAGAAATTCTGCATGTCCACAAAGGAAAATCCCCTGAATGTCACGGAGACTATTTTTTCCTTTTTTCTCACTCTTTTTCTGTTTATTTTTTTTCTTTTCTTTTTTTTTTTTTTTTTTTTGAGAAACATGTCAAAGTAAGGTACAGAGCAGAGGGCTCATGATGCCAATGGGAATAACCCGTGCCCTGCCAGCCCCGAGCACTCTGGGGACTGTTGCACCCCATGGTCACTGGGTGGACATGGGTGAAGCCACCAGGAGCCACGATGTCCCTTTGCTGTGACCTTCCTGGAGAGCCTCTGTGCTGGCACCCAGCCCAGTCCTGCTGCCAGCACCGAGGTGGAGCAGTGGGTGCCCAGAGCTGGTTGCCCTTTGCATATTCCATCTCTCTGTGGGTCTGTCCCCTCGACACCAGACCTGACACGTGCTGTTGGTGACTCCAAACAGAAAATCCACCCCAGGGCAGCTGCTGGCTGTCCCTGCTCTGTCTCACGGGAGAGTTGGAGGGAAAAAGCAAGTGATAAGGGGACGGTGAGCCAAGGTGACAACAGTTTAGACACAGTTTAATAACCCAAACCTGCTTTTTCTGTATTTCCTGCTCAGTTTCCCAGTCCCTCTGCCAAGTGAAGAAAGGAACAGCGTTGGAAGTCAGATGATTTCAGACTGAGTTGTCGCCAGTCCCAGCCAGGTCACGGACATGCTCACAAAAGGCTTTGAGGCTTTGCCATGGGGTCTGTCCCTTCCCAAACCTCCCAAGACGTGGCTGTGAGGCACTGGGCTGGCTGCTCCTCCTCTGGCATCAGCACACATGGCTTTGGGCTCCCCCAGGAGCACACGGGGAGGCTCCAGGAGCTCTCCTGGCTGAGCTGCCCCCGGTCCCGCGGGAAGGCTGGGGCTGACATCGTGCACATCCCTCGGGTCACAGTGAGCGGGGCCAGGGGAAGGGTCTGCACCAGCCTGGGGTCCCAGCAGCTCCTCTGCATTTTTTGGGCGCTGCAGAACATTCCCTTGTTGGATGTCAAGCGGATCAACACCAAGCCATGATGTAGAGGCAGGAATTTGGCTGCAGTTCCTGGCTGATTTAGGGGTGTGGGGATGGAAGGAAAGGTTCATCTGCAGGGTTTGGTCTGGCTGGCAGTACACCAGCAATTCCAGGTGCTCACCTGTTACGTTTGTGAGTAAAATCAAATCAGGATGGTGTCAATAAATAAATGGGGTTTGTGGTATTAGCAATATTTATTTATTTTTAAAAAAATCTGTCAAGAAGCAAAACGAATGTTGATTTCTGTGGTATTTTACTCTCTGGACATTTCAGCCAGTTTCAGGCTTTGTTTGCATCTCTGCTTTTTTAGAAGTCTGCAAGGAAAACAAAATCTACTGCTCTGACAAGCCTAAGGATTTGCAAAGGAATACAGAAAGCATGTCATTAGCTTTGGGAAGCTGCCCCACACTTCAGTTTGTCCTCTGCTCAAGGTATTTGTGCAGCAAACTTGTAGGAATCTGATGCCCATTGCACTGGCAACTTTCATCCCTAATTTTTCATGGTTTTTGTGAAAAGGTGAAAATGAATGTAAATTCTTTGCATATCTTCACTTGAGTCAAAGTATGACAAATCACCTGGTTTTGCTTGGGGTCACTCTGTTGTTTCTTTACATCATGGCAAAAGCAAAATAAGGACAAACTGTGTTCCATGATGGGGTGGGGGAGCAGCTTTTCCCCCTTGAGCTAATCTGCTAATTCTGCTCAGCTGGAGACAACGGAGAGGAAGAGGTGGGGAAAAAATCCAAAATCAGCTACAGTCAGGTTTGTTCCTTTGGGCAAGGATAAACTTTCCAGAATGGCTGTGCAGCTCAGCAGGGCTGTGGTGGCCTCAGCACCAGCTGTACCCTTGGCCCAGAGCTGGGTGCAGGGCTCGGGCACTGCTCCATCCCTGCCCTTCCTGCCCTCCACACAGGTGGGGTCCTGCAGGGTCACTGTCCCTCTTACCCCTGCAGGGGAAGGGTGTTGCTGTTTTCTACACCACCAGTGGTTTAAACCAGAGCTTTTAAGCACCTTTGCATCACATGTGTGACATTCTGGGTTATGGAGGGCAGAGGAATTTCCATTTGTTTAATTTAGTGAATGAATCCCACTGGCTGCCTGGCAGGGGTGGAGCTGAGGGATGTAACTCGAGTGTTACCTTAGGTCAGCAGAGGGGTCTTTGGTAATTCTGCCTAAATTCATCTGCAGGACCAACCTTCTGGGTTAAACAACCTGAAAATAAGAAGATAATTCACGGAAGATTTCCTAAAAACATTTTAGTGTGTGTTTGCTTAAATCCCATGGAGAGGCTGCCTGGAGGGATGGCAGTTCGTGGTCAGAGCAGGAGAGATCCCAGGCTTGGCTCTGCTTCTCCCAGGTCAGCCCTGGCTGAGATTCATCTTTCAGGTCCTTGATGCCATGGAGAGCACTCAGTCCCAAAGCAGGCCCACAGTCCCCTCCCAGCGTGGAGCTGCAGTTCAGCACTGCTGAATTTCATGGAAATCGCTACTTTTGGCTCTTGGAAGCAGCTCTGCTCCTGCCGCTGCTGGAGCCTGTGGACGTGGTTGCTTCCCATGCTTTTGTGCAGGAGAGACTGAGCTTTGCAGGAAGAGCAGAGACGGAGCTGAGGACCTGGAGATCACGGTGTCACCCTGGGCTGGAGCTTGGCACGGGGGGTGTGGGTGCTGTCACTCAGAGGTGCAGAAGGTCCTGTGCATGCCACGCTGTGCCCTCCCTGGCCCGGAGCTTGGGTACATTTCAGGCTCACCTTCCCCTTCCCAGTCAGCTGCCCTGGATCTGCTGAGGAACGAGTGTCACCTTCTGCCACCAGGCTCCCACGTGGCTGTCCCGCTCCGGGTGGCTGCGGCCAGCACAGCCGCGAGGTGAGGGCCACCGCGAGCTGCTCCGGGGCAAGCACAGCCTCCACCATCCTGGGGCTTCCCAGATGCCTCTCCCATTCCTGGACAGTGTATCCAAAATGTGCTGTGTGTGTCGGTGTGGATCAGGTGCTCACGCCTGACCGAGTGTTCCTGTTTATTGCCGTGCTGGTGGAGCCACACTCGGGGCTCCTCCTCACCCGCTCGGGGTTGGCTCAATTCTGCTTCACCTCCGCGTGTTTGCAGTGTGTAAACATCAGACTCCTGGGTGGTGGTTGGACTCCATGAGGCCTGGAGGATCGAAGCATTAAAAAAAAAAAGGAATGAAAAGTAACAAAACAAATGCAAAAAGCCCCAAGACCCACGTTACTGTCCGTGCTTGCAAGTTCTGGCTCCTCTGCGGTGATGGATGCAGCTGGGTTGCGAAGGCCTTGTTCTTGAAATTTTTTTTTTTTTTTTCTTTTTTTTTTTTTTTTCCTCTCGTTTTTTTAATCCATTCTTCCCTAGTTAAGTGTGCATCCAGCCGTGTCTGCCGCAACTCCTTCCCTCCCACACCCCCCCCTCTGCCATTCCCTAGGGAAACACAGGTGCCAGTCCGGTGTTGCAGGTCATGTTGTCCTTGCCGGGCAGCCGTCGGTCGTTGAAGGTGTGCATGTTGATCACGGCGTCCGTCTTCACCATCACGGGGGGCTGGGGCTTGTGCTTGACCCGGCGCTGGCAGGTGAGCGACAGCCGGATCTCGTCGGCCATGGCGCTGCAGAAGGAGCGCTGGGGACAGCGGGGATGAGGCCTTAGCATGTTAGCTCTTATATTTTTCAGATATTTGTAATCCTGCAGTTTGTTAGTGTGCAGCTGTAAAGCTCCGTAGCCTCTCAGCCACTGTTCTCCCATTTTATTCAGGTAAAACGATTCCTCTCTAGGCCTGGGAATCAAGGGCACCTCACTGCCTCAGGCCCCAAAAATATAAACAAAAGTGAGTTGGGGGGAGCAAACTTGGAGTAAATGACTTAATTACCTGAATCCCTTAATTACCAGGGCTTAACCCCTGATATGTAAATGGACCAAATTTATATCTGTCTGAAAAACTCGTGACCATGGTCCATACTGGGTGTGGCCCCTCAGAGGCTTTTGACTGCCCAAGGTGTACCTACTGAAGGCCTTCAATAAATACCCACTTTATTCTCCTGATCTTGCCTAGCCTGTGTTCTAGGGAGTCACTCCAAGACATCAGGGACAAAACACCCCATTGCTGCTGCAGTGTCCTGCTCCCCCAGGGGAGCAGCAGGGCTGGAAGGGCTTATTTGTCAGCTTGCTCTAAACCACGCTACCAATGTGTCCTGGTCTGGCTGCTGCAGCAGCAGATGACCCTGATCAGAGCAGACGTGACTTTCCCCCGAGTGGAGGCCGTCAGAGGGACAGCCCAGTGAGCCTCTGGGGATGGCATTTTAGGGTGCCAGGCTGGATCCCTCTGCCCCCTCCCTGCCTGTCCCTGGGTCAGCGTGCAAAGCCCTCTGGGCTGGGCTAAGGGGAGGCAGAGAATTGGGGGAATCAGTCGGTACCTGCTCGCGCTCGGCCGTTTTGCGCAGCTTGTAGATGAACTCCACCATGGCCACGAAGACAGAGAGCACCAGGCCTGCTGCCAGGACAATGAAGATCCCTCCGATGTTCTGGATGCCCAGAGCACTGGCCTCCTTGTTCTCATCCTCAGGGCAGCCATTCCCCCGCCACCACTTCTCCTTCATGACGTGGAGCTTGTCCTCCTCCTGGAGCTGCAGGATGGCGATGGTGATCTTGTCCCTGTACGGTGACCCTGGGGGTGGGGACACCGTTATACACAGAGGGAAGGTGGGACAAAAATCCCACCAAGCAGGGAAGGTGTCTGTGTTAAGCAGCGCAGTTCAGACCTCTCTTCAATGGGCAGACAGTGCTATTTGGAAATTTGCTGCTGGGAGTGGATTATTAATCACCTGTGTCGTGTTTGTGGTGACCAGCCCTCCTCGGGGTACCTGCAGAGCTGCCACTTACCCATGGGTGTCCCGATGCCGTAGCCTTTGGTGTCGATGAGCCCCCCGATCTGGGTGAGGTTGCAGTTCCTCTGGGTGATGTACTCGATGGTGGTGGACTCCATCAGCAGCGCGTAGTCGGCCGTCAGCGTTCGCTGGATCCCCTCCTCGTTGTTCTTCACCAGGGCTGTGGGTTTGCTGCTCATGAACGCCCACATTTTTTCAAATGTGGAGATTTTGGATTTCTGGAAAAACAATACCCCGCCCCAGCCCCAAAATAAGAATGAATTCTCCATTTGGCGAAAGCTGGTATCTTTTCAGTAAATAATAATAGTTGAGAACAGATCCACAGTGGAGCAACCATGAATTTGACTTTGTCTTTAATGCCCTCACTGCCCAGCATTGTTTGGGTTTATGTTGCCTTAAAAAGAGACAGGGGTTGCAGCAAACCTTGCTGTGCTTGTGCTCCAGGTCCTGAGGTGGAACAGAACCTGCCCAAAGGCCTGCAGGCCCCCTCGACTCCCAGGCCATTGTAAAATCTGCTTAAATGTGTTCACTTCCTAACCAGGATTTGTTTACCCTGTAGTGCTTCTGCATGCAGAGAGAACAGAGAATTTTGGAGGATGTGGTTTTCTCTACACACACTCTGATATTTTTGTCTTTCCTCAAGCATGGCAAGGAAACGAGTCTCCTCTGAGATATGTGCAACTGCCAAAGAGATTTAACATACCCACGTAAACAGAAGCACAGAGATATTCAAGAAGATTGTCTTACGGCTAAAAATAAACATGGATATTCTTTCACTATCAGCAGACATTCTGTTGCAAAGGAAGGAATATGTTTTCTAGCTTGCTATTCATGTGAATATGGTTTTTTTTTCTCCTAGAAAATGTGTTGAGTGAGAAGAAATATGGTTATTTTACGTCTTGCCATAACATTTCAAAAGTACCATTTATCTACGAGCACCTTCTGAGCTGTCTCTGTCAGTCATCACAAAAGTCACAGAATCTCAGAATCCCAGAATGGTTTGGGCTGGGAAAGTCCTTAAAGCTCATCCTGTTCCCCCTCCTGCCATGGGCAGGGCCACCTTCCACTGGACCAGACTGCTGGTCAGAACTGGATTTAGTTTAGGAAGATTTCCCAGACTGGCAGAGCAGTGTCCTCTTGCCCCTTTGCTGGTCCCAGTGCTCCCGTGGGTCAGTGCTTCTCCCTCAGACCAGCCCTGGGACAACACTTGGATATTCAGGTTTGTGTTCCCACTGCTGCCAGCTCCTTTATGCAACATTCTTCTTTCCTGCCCCATTTCTTGTTTTTCCTAGATCTGTTTTTGCCTTCTTATTTCATAAGAGGCATCTTAGGCAGGCAAACCTCTTCTGCTCCTCTGTGAGCCTGGAGCTGGCTGATAAGTCAGAGGGCAGATAAGTCCCTGTGCTGTGTCTGGAACCAGGGTGGCCTCTCAGCAGCTGCTGCATGAGGAGTTGCTGCTGCAGAGCTGTGATTTCAGCCGTCCTTTATCTCTCCACAGGTCTCTGTCCTTCCATGAGAAAGCAGGAGATGGAGCCCAAGCCCAGCCCAACTGCTGCTGCCACAGCTCCCCATCATTCAGTGTCACCCAAAATGTGCCAGCGTAGGTTCTTCTGATAAAACCCTAATAAATAATGGTGAGGTAGCTGAAAGTCACTTGTAATGCTTCGTTTTCCAAATGCTTTGCCCATCCACCTCCTTTATTCCAGCATGTTTAGCAAAAGTTAAACAAAAGCTCATCATCTCAAAGCTGGGTAGTGCAGTGCTGTTCAAACAAAGGCTGTACCTCTGCCTTTAACCCTGTGGGCCCCTTCTCCTGACAGAAATACCCAGGGATTCATTTCTTCTCCATTAAATCTCGTGCTCGTTATAATCCACTTGATGAATGCTCAGCAGTGGATGTGCTGGAGCAAACTTCATTCAAGAGGCAGGATAATCTCCCTTGCTTGAAAATCTGGACCAGTGCCTGTAAGGTAGATTTGTGGCATCTATCAAACCTCAAAGAGCAGCAAGAAATGTAGCCTCCAAAAGGATTATTAAATATCTGTACATTACAATGGGTAATTGAAATGAATCGTGTGCTCGGCTGGCTGATAAGGACTTGTTTAACATTTATATAGTTCACATCAGAGGCCTCTGGGTTCCTTGGCTCTCCCTCTCTCTTCTTCTCTTTCTGCATTTAATGCTCCTTGAGTGTTGACACAGAGCTTTTAACATCAGTGTTCTCCCAGTTTAGAGCACAGAGCAAAATAAACTGGCAAAAAATCAATAGGCTGCATTTAGTGAAGCAAATGGGACTTGCATGAGGCACTGGAGCTCTTCAGGCAACTGAAATTACATGAGACAGGGCTCCCTGGAAGAGAAAAACCACTTTTCTCTTCTTCTCTTAAATCAGTGCTCCAGCTTGAAAGGACTTAATTGTGTTTGGGGTGCCAGGAAGAGCCCAGATTTGTCAGTTCTGGCTGTGCTGCTTTGAGCCCAGCTTGGCCCTGCCAGGGGTGGGGCACTCCTGCAGCTGGGGCACACCTGGGAAGGGCTGGAAGGAAGGATGGAGCTGCTGTCCCTGCTCAGTGGTGCCTGATGAGAGCTGGGACAGGGATCTGGGCTCAGGGCTGAGACCCAGCAGGGCAGAGGAGCCGGGGGTCCCTCCAGGAGGGAGGGCAGGACATTGGTGCTGCCAGGGCAGCTCACACCCAGCCCTGGTCAGGGCAGTCTCAGGCTCTAAAACCTGATGAGAAAACTGCTTTTCCAAGGGAAAATTCCCCAGCTGTAATTCCCAGCACAACTCTCACAGGTTGATGGTTTGCTGCAAACCCAGAAGCAGCTGTGAGAGCGATGTTGGTCATCAATCCCAAATCACAGGAGCAGCGAGGGCAGGAGTGTCCCTGCTCCAGCTCACACACAGTTAAGCCACAGAACATGTTTTGTAGTTGAAGGAAAAGTTCATTTCTCCCCTTCCTCCTCTCAAATACTGTGGCCACACTGCAAAGGTGTTGCTTATTGATGGGAATTTGGATTTTGTCAGCCAGGACTGCACCACAGAAATAAGCAAAATCATCTTAGTAGTGATTTAGTAATAAAGAATGCCTGAAATTTTGTTTATTTTGCTGATGGTTTTTCCTGTGTTCTTTATTTGCGTGTACGTTTTATTTTGCTGCACCCCTTATTTTACCATATTTTAACTTTAAAAATTAGGGTTAGTTACTGGTCTGATCTGGTATTTGCTGTGCTGTGGCTGGCTGCTCATTTCTTCTCAAGAGATTCACCATTTACTTTTATGGGCTTCTTAAAAGAAGCATATCTCAGTTGGTTGTGGGTGAAGGGACCCTCCTGTGCCCCCACATCCTCTGGAGGATCCCCAGGTCCCCCTCAGTGACAACTTTGCTGCCAAAGGTAGATGAGGAGGAGCTGCTTGGGTGCTCTGAAGCATCAAGATAAATGGTCTGACACTGGCTCCTTCCTGGCAGAGAAGTTCCTGTGTCAGGAGCCCCGAGATGTTGGGGATGATGGAGATATTGCTAATTATCATGGGCTGCTGCTGCAGCCGTGGCTCACACGGCGGGGTCGAGTCTCACTCCTGCTCACACGAGTGCAGCTTCTCCTTGATTTATTCAGGATAAATAACACCAGAATCTGGTCTGCTGTGCTCTGCATCTTAATCAGCCCGTGTTAGTGCTAAATGAGATGTGTGTGTGAAAGCAGAGTGCCAGCCCCTCCGAAGGCAGCGACGCCGAGAACGCCTCCGAGTTCATTCTTCAGAGCCACAGCTCAGAAGCCACCTTTAATAAGCAGTTCTGCAGGGCCAGTCACCCAAATCAATTAATGGAATCGTTTAGAGGAGCCCCTGCGAGGCATCTTGCCAAGACATATACGCTTTTTTATCAGCCAAATTGGCAAGAAAGGAACTTTCAGGCTTAAGATTTTCAATTCCAGCCTGTATGAAAAAATAAATTGATTTCCACCAACTGAAGATACTTAGTCTTGAGGATTTAACATTTCTGTATGAGTATCTGTGTACACACATACACACACTCACATCCAGACTCCAAACTGCACTTGAGACCTGGCCTTCCATTCAGAGAGGCAGCATTCTCTGCAGGATGGGAAGGATTTATGAGTTATAATCAACTCTAGATGCTGTTCCTAAATTAATTGATCAGTGTTTATTCCTGTGACTCAATCTGCATTGCCAGGGAGTAAACAGCTTCTCAAAAGTTCTTTTTATGAAGTCAGAACGTGCCAGTATGGTTGGTGAAGCTCTCTCTTCTTCCCTCTCTTGGTTTGCTCGGCTGCATGGGGCCAAATTTTATGGGAGCAGCATCCCTCGCTGTGGGGCTGTCCCAGAGGGGTCTTGGTTCCATTGGGACCTTCTGCAGTGTCCCTGGGGAGCTCTGCACAAGCTCTCGGGCTGAGCACAGCTCAGTGCTTTGGAATCCATCTCATGGAGCAGCATGCCAGGTGTCCACCTTCCTCTTCCTCCCATTGTCTTCCTCCCCAGGATCTGGATGCTGCTCTGCTCCTGGATCCTGGGGGATCCAGCATGGGCAGGGTGGGCCCTGACAGAGGGGCTGCAGGGCCTGGGCGTGCCCAGGGTCGGTGTGTGCAGCTTGCACATGATTTAACAGGGGGAAAGGAAGGAAGGAGTGAGACCCTGCTGTGAGGGGAATGACTGCGGGGAACAGCCACACAAAGAGCCAGGCAGCAATTTGGGCCAAGTACAGCTAAATACAGTAAATATACAGATAATCCACGGGGCAGGTGAGATCTCATGGTGTGCTGCCTCTTGTCCCAGCAGGGGCAGTGTGTTCAGAGCTGCTGGGTGCTCAGGCTCTGGATCTGCTGCAGGAGCCCTGGCTGGTGGGGGCTGTCTCTGCTGGAGCCCCCTGGAGCAGGGCAGAGCAAGGCAGGGAAGCCAGGTGCTGTTCTTCCATCCCAGGGAGGGTGGATCCTCAGGAGCTCTGTGCTGAGACAGGTGTCCCCATGGAGGTGGCACTGACAGAGCAGCTGAACCAAACCCACCACAGGAATTACCCAGCTGAGAACAAAGACCTTGTTGGAGCTGGGACAAATCCTGCCTCTCCCAAGTCCCTCTGTGCAGGAAGGACAAGTGAGCAGAGCTTCCCACGTGGGAGCTCCCACTGCTCCAGTAATGGAAATGCTTGTCAGAAGGGACATTCCTGAGAATTCATCTCCATACAGCAGTGATAATAAAAAGGAAAAGGAAAATACTCTGCATCAATAAACCATGCCAAGGCCGTTAGAAGCCTGAAGTACGGTTCTGATGGATAATGATATGAAGCAATAAATATACTGTGTCCTGATGATTGTTAAAAGAGACAGTTTCCTTTTATTCCCATATAAAACTCATACTGGAAAGGGCAGTTAAAGCACACAGTTACAGCCTGCCTTTCCCTGCTGGCTGTTCCAGGGTTTTATGGCTTTGGAAAACACCACCACACGTCTGCCTGTGCCACGGACAGAACTGCACGGGGCAGCTCCATGGCAGGAGGCAAACTGGGCATTTCCAGAGTCACTGAAGATCAATCCACCCCCTCTGTGGTTCTTTATCAGCCTCTGCTGCTGCCTGTCAGAGTCAGGACAGATCCAGCGAGGACAGTGGCTTCTCAGCCACATCAGAGCCAAGAGAAGTTGCATGGGAGCAATGCTCCCTCTGTTATTAAAATCCAGCATATTGCCTTCCTTTAATCAGTCTTGCCAATTAAACTGCTGAGGCCTCATCAAGCTGCCATCACCCTGTGCCTGCTCAAATCTTGCAGCACCAGGCACAAAGTGCTTGGTAAAGCCTGAACTGTGCTGGTCACATGTATTTCCTTCTGCATTAGGGTGGTGGAGGGGGAAGGAGCCAGAGATGTTGGGGAGCCAGCTCCCATTCCTGAGCCAAAGCCTGGGATCTTCCTTTGGGCCTCTTTCCTTGCCAGGGTGATAATTCCTTAATCACCCTTCATTTCTATCCCTTTATTCTCTCTCTCTTTTCAAACTGGGTTTTTACAGGCCAGCAGTGGTTTTAAAGGTCATTTTACATCTCTCAGTTTCTTTCTGTTTTTGAGGCTATGGTGGAATCTGACTGACTTCTGAATTTAATTATGCTTTAAATAGACAAAATTAATGCAATTGGATTGTGATGCACTGGTACTGTTACCTTGCCCTGGATCTCAGAGGTTAATAAAACTGGATTACATTGATATGAATACCTGAAGGACAAGAAAGGTATTTCAGCTGCAAAAAATACAATCAGGGAGGGCACTTGGCAACATCTGTCCAGCTGTGGGCTTCATTCGGGCTCTCCTCTGTCCCTGAAGGCTGGCTGGGTCAGCCTGGGGCTCCATAGGGCTGAGCTGCCAGAGGCAAGGAAGAAATGGGATGGCTCAGATATGGAAATTGGGAAGGTGCTTTAAGGAATGTAAAATTTTTCTGCAGGGCTTTAATACAAGCTTCACTTTGGCACCTGCTACGTTTTAGGGTGTCTGAGCCAATATTGGGTAGAGCCTGCAAAAGTGTAAAATCAGTTTAATTTTGTACCTGTGTCTTCAGTTAACAACAGGGAGGGGGATTTAGCCTTGGTGGGACTCAGGTGAGTGACAATCTCAGTCTGGGCAAGATGTGAGACAGAAAGAAGCTGCAAGAAGGAGCAGCAGGGGCGGCTTGGGAGGATTTCTGTCTTTGGATCTTTGTCCTGGCTCCCGTTGGCATCTCTGCCTGGAAGGTAGAAAGCCTCTGCTGGGTCTCACCTTGAAGAAGGTCATGGTAGCTCCATCCTTCACTGCTCCATACTCTATTTTTGTCTGCTTTGCCAAGTCATCTGCCGAGTCGATGGGGGACTCCATCCTCTCCACGGTCAGGAAGGCCGCGAGGTTGGCCGTGTAGGACGAGATGATAATTAGGGTGAAGAACCACCATATGCCACCAATGATCCGTGTGGACAGGGCTTTGGGCATCAGCTCCGAGCCTGGGGGGGACAGGGGGAGGAGGGCAGAGGAAATAGAGGGAAAGAACCCATTTCATGTATCCATACATATATTTTATATACATATATATATATGTGTGTGCGATCAGGTTTCACTGTCAAAACTGTTACAGCCATGCAATTAAAGCCAACTGGTTTTGAGGCAAATTATCCAGACATCTTGCATGCAAGGGGATTTTGTAGCATTTGCAGAAAAACCCTCTTCCTTGATTACTGACCTTGGGTACAGTGCCCAATTTACAGGAAACATCCAAACTGAAGTAATTAACTGGGCTGCTTTTATGAGATTTAAATAGCAAGCTATTTATGAACTTTTATGAGTGTTTTGTTCTGCCATTTAAAAAGGGCTTTGCTTTTATACAGATTATTTTCAAAAGACTCACTCTGGGGAGTGTGTTCAAATACACAAGGTTTAAAAAAAAATCAAACACCAAGAGAAAGGAACCATCAGGGTCCAGGGCTTTGAATGCCAGTCAGAAATGGGGAAGCAGGAGATGTTACAGCATGAAAGGTGTAGTGGGTCTGGAATGACTTATTGAGCAGACATGAAGGGCTAAATGGGTTGTGCTATTTTTGTAATCACCCAAAACACCTTTTAAAGCCAGGCAAGAGCTTTGGGCTTGAAACAGCTGTGCTCAGAGGATTTATCAGCCTGGAAAGTGCAACAAAGATTGGGCTTTGCAAAGCAATTTTAGGCAGCGTGGCATCAAAGCAGAGCATGGGGTGTAGTTTTCCTCCCTTCAGAGTGCAGCAAGGAGACACCAGGAAGAGGAGGAGTCCTGGATGTTGAGGGTGCTTTGGTTCTCCTCAAGATCCTGCTTCTTCCCTCTTCCATCTCCGGCCCTTTGATGCATTGGATGCTGTGACATCAGTCTGGCTTTGAAATATTTTTCTTCTCAGATGCAGAATTGAGTTAAAAAGAATATAGCTCTTTTCATTTATCAGCATCTGATAAGAGGGATGATTCATCCTGCTAAACCCTCTTGCTGGGAACTGTCACTGTCCACGAGGGCAGCTGAGATCCAGGAGGAATCTCTATTACAGGCAGCAGTGGAGCTCAGAGCAGCTCTGTGCCTGCCACTGAGCCAAGGCTGTGCTTCTTTTGCTCTCTGGATGTAACCACTGATACATGGTAAATTAAAGTGTGACAAATGTTTGACATTTTCCACTTATTTCTATTCCTGGATTTTCTGCAATTAGATCGCAGCTGAATTTCGTTCCTTATTCAGAGCTGCTCCCAAGCTCCCCCCCTGCTGCCTTCTGAACAGATTTATTCTGTTCATTGCATCTCTCTATTCCATTCACACACAGGGGTGTAATCCCATCCCTGTCCCATTTCTGGGGTCCCTGTGGCCCTGGTGGCTCTCAGCAGTGCCACTGGCAGCTCTCCTGAGGGGCTGCTGGGCACAGGCTCCAGGGCAGCTCCTCCAGCCTGGGGAATCTCACACTGCTCAGAATGACCAGGGGAGGGGAAAAATGGGCACGGAGCAGAGGGCAAGGCACCCTGTCTGCTGGAAAAGTGGATTTAGAACAGAGAGAGAGCCAGGTCAGAGATCCTGAGACTGAACAAATGGTTCGAATTAACAGAAATAGGAATTTGCAGAGTCCGTGGGATGTGGGGGGATGAAGCAGCTGAGGGAGATGAAGGCAGTGCTCCTCCTTGGAGCTGCAGGGGCCAGGAGGTGCTGGGAGGTTGCAACCAAAGCAAAATTTCAGTTGCAAAAGCCCTAAGAGCAGGCAGGTGTCCCTTACCTTGCTGCATCAGCGCCCCCATCCCGAACCAGAAGCTGTTGAGCAGGGTGAAGTTGTTCTCCACGATGTCCGAGCCCGGGTTGCAGGGGTGGGCATCGTACCACTCATAGGGGCTGAACCTGCAGCACACAGGGACACAGAGCTCCTGATGATGAGGCCTTGAGGGGCTCCTAGGACACAGGCTAGTCAGGATTAGGAGAATGAAGTGGGGATTTATTAAAGGCCTTCAATAGACACACCCTGGGCGGCCAAAGCCGTCCAGAGGCTGCACCCAAGATGGACAATGATCATGAGTTTTTCATTCAGTTATGAGTTTGGTTCATTTGCATATCATTTGCATATTAATCCTTAATTACAGCTTCAGGTAATGAAGTGACATACCCCCACTTTGCTCCCCACATTTCATTTTTGCTCATACTTGTCAGGGCCTGAGGCTGCAGGGTGTCCTTGGATCTCAGGCCTCGAGTGATTGTTTTGTCTGACCAAAATGTGAAGACAGTTAAATAACACTTTATATGGAGTTATGCACTAATGCAGCACAGGGTCTGAAAAAATATAAAGGCTAAAATCCTAAGGCATCACTTAGCTGAGATGTGGCAGGACAAGACTCCAAAGGAACTGGAAAAAAGGAGTCTCAATGCCTCTGGTGCTGATGTGCAGGGGCTGCCGACCCTCTGGGGCACAGCTTTATAGAGAAAAAACCAAATTCTGCCCAAGACACCCACACAGCTGTAAGTCTGTGTCCTGCACTCTGGAGAGCAGAGACCCGGGAAGCCAAGTCCTCCTGAGGTGTCTCAGATGGCTTCTCCAGAGCCTTTGGTCTCTTGGGATCATCTTTTCAATATTGTGTCCTACAGCAGCACCTGGAGCATGTGATGGTGGGATGGGAGGGGATGGGATGGAATGGGGTCCAGACACGTAACCTCTCGTATGTAACAGCTTGAAAATGTGGAAAAAAATGACATTTTTGGTTGACTAAGGAGAAGCCTTGGTCATTCTGCAGTAGTAGCAGGGACAAACTGGTATTTTAGGAGATTCTCCCACCAATGCACATGGGAATCAGGGTGGGATTTATGTCACTGAGAGGTAGAACCTCCCACCATCCTGACAAGCAGGAGTTTGGCCCAGTCAGGGCATTGGCAGAACACTGGAATGTGGTGGCAGTTTGCTGTGGACAAACTTATTCCTTGTGTATTTCCAAGGATAGCCCTGCAACTCTTGAGCAAGACTGAGGGAATTTCCTAGGAATATCTCTGCAAATTCTGCCCAAGATTGGCAGGCAAGCACTGCTGGGAATGAGCTCGTTTAGCCAGGATCTGGGGAGGATGCTAAACAGGAGAGATGTTAATATTTTTAGAGCTGTTTATTTACATTTTCTGAGAGTCCCAAATTTTGCAGAGATTAAATTAAAAACATAATTGGTATAATTGCTTTTGATCCAGGCATTAATTATCATCTCCGCTTCCTTCTGGAATCCCTGGAGATTCACAACAGCCCCTTCTCAAAGCCCAGCCCACAGCCTCTACCAGGAGATGTTTCCCTCTGTAATTCTCCACCAGATGCGCCACCACCCAAGGAGAGGGCTCGTGGCTCCACTCCAGGGTGGCCTCGCTCACAGAGTTGGATTTGTTTGGAGAAGGGCCCCAGATCCCTGCCAGGAGCCTCCTGGCACTGAATCCTGCCCTGGGCACGTGTCAGGGCAGAGCTGTGGTCCTGGCAGCGCCAAGCACGGGAGGGGACTGGGGGAAAACCATCCCTGGGATGGACAGGGCACAGCCCACGCTCCTGTGGCTTTGGAAGAGATTACCCTGGGCACAGCTGTGCCACTTTTTGCTCCTGTTTTCCACTCAAGGTACAGTGCAATGAGCTCTCCTTTCCTCCCTGGTTTAGCTCACCTTCCTGCAGCAGCCTGGGCTGGGTTTGGGGTGTGGAACCCTGCTCAGGCTGCACCCTGGCATTGCTGCTTTTCATCCAGTGATGGTTGGGCTCTCCTTGCTCCTCACCCTCCTCTGCTCTCTGAATCAGAGGAAATCAGCAAGGAAACAAGAGCCAGGCTGAACTCAGACCTTTACATGCTGCTTATTCCTTGGAACTTGCTATAGATTCACACCAGAGGTGGATAAAAGATGGTGTCTTGGTCCTTTCTGTCAGATAAAGCCAGAGTTCAGGAATTAGATTAAAACTTTCTTGGGCTGCCAATGAAAGACTATGAAAAAGAAAGGGAATGGGTAAGATCAATGAGCCTGGCAAGATGACACGCTGGAGAACTTCAAGGTCTGAGTGAAAACCTACTGGTGCAGCTCAAATGACAGAGAAATATTCAGAAATCTGCAAAGCAGCAACAGCCTCCAGTGCTTGAGCAGAGAAACCATTAGTGGAAGCAAGAGGTAACGAAGGAAGGAGGGAGAGGAGCTCGTTGACCCCAGAGCTCAAATCATTGGGGGAACTCAGGACCCTCCATGGCTGGCTTCCCTCATCCTCACATGCACTGTGGCTCTGAGAAATATTTCATCAAAAACGAGCATCATTCTCCTGTCTCTTTCAGCTTTCTGGGTGGGAAATTGAAGCACTTGGAAGAAATTTAAAAGATCTAACACAAAATACTTTTGAGTCTAAATTGTGTCTCCAGAGAAATTTTCAATGGATGACCCAGACTGTTGCATTTGCAGGGAATGTCCTGACAAAGGCAGGAATGATGCATCTGACTCCACATTCTCAGAGGGCTAATTTATTATTTTATAATACTATAGTATACTAAAAAATACTATACTATAGTAAAGAATACAGAAAGGATACTTACAGAATGTTAAAAAGATAATAATGAAAACTGGTGACTCTCTCCAGAGTCCCGACACAGCTTGGCACTGACTGGCCAAAGAGTCAGAACAACTCACAGCAGAATCCAATGAAACAATCTCCAAACACATTCCACATGTGAGCACAACACAGGAGAATCAAATGAGATGAGAATTGTTTTCCTTTTTGTGTGAGGTCTCAGGTTTTTCCCAGGAGAAAAACCCCGGGCAAAGGGATTTGTTCAGAGAATGTGAATGCCACACCAGACCTCGCTGCAATTGGGATGAAGATTAAACCAACCCACCCACCCTGCCAGGCAGCCAGAGGGGTTGGGTGTAATTTGGAGGCTGTGTGAGCCCGAGGACAGCCTGGCACCAGACACAGCATCCCACGGAGCCCTGGGGACAGCCAGCGCTGGTGGCTCTCTGGGGATGGGGGTTGGGAGCAGGGGCTCCATCAATAGCGAAGAAAGGCTGATTAAAATGACAGATGAGCCAAATCCGTCCTTTGCCTGCCTCTAAATAGTTCCTGAGTCTGTTTTAAGTGGCATTGACCTATGGTTATGGCATGAGCAGAGGGCTCTGGTGCCTAGTTCAGAAGAGTCATGTCTCTGAATTAAGGCTTTTCTATTTTGATTGTGGTTTTCCGCTGAGAATTGGATTTCAGAGGCCTTGCTGGGGTCAAAAGCAGATATTGTTTCCATCACTTCTGAATGCAATAAATATTTTCCCTGTGAAATCTCTTGCCTTCCATCTCTATGTGTTAAAAGACCATTCCTGCAGAATTTTAATTACCCCGAATACTTGGTGTTATTTGAAAGAATAGGATGACAGAAGAAATGCCAGGAGCAAAATGTGAAAAAGAAACTGTAATTGCAATATTTTATGTGTTGAATTTAGTCCAAAAAATAGCCTGATAGGGAAAAATTGTTCTACAACCTCATAATTGCTGTGATGGAGTGAGATGATGAGGTTCATTTCAGAATAAAACCTGAGACAAAGCCACAGTTCTTCACGTTTTCACCCCTCAACATCAGCCAAAAGCCAGGCAACACTGCCATGCTAGGACAGACATCCCTGTTTGTGCAAAGTGGTGGCTGGGGGACTTCACATCAGGGCCTGCCCCAGCATTGCCTTCAGCCCTTCTGCAGCATTTCACATGCAGATACAATTTGCACATTTAACATGCTTTGAAAGCGGGATCTGGACAATTTGGGCTGGATCTGGTCATCACGAGCTGGGAAAAAGAAGCTCCAAAATGTAAAATTGAGTTTGGATTGTCACTGCAGGGCACAGGAGCAGGCTGGTGCCGTCGAAGCCAGCGGCGCTGCGGGAGCAGAGCCCACCCAGCTGTGCCCTGCCTGGATGACAGGGACAGCCAAGGGCTGTCTGTCAGCCACCACAGGATTTTCCTTCTCATGGTTACCTTGGGTCCACGTCCCCAGAGGAGAGTCTTGTGCTGCTGGGAGCACCTGGCTGTCCCTGACAGGGTTGGGTGGGCAAAGACAAGGCAGGAGGGTGACTGCAGCAGCAATCTGGATCAGGGAGGGCCCTCCACATCCTCTGAGAGGAAAACTGTGCGTGCTGACAGTCTGGCCAGGGAGAAAGTCAGATAAACTTTCCCAGGCATTGCTCTGGGGGAGCTTTGAGAAAGCTCAGGGAAAGAATTACAATAATATTTAATCTTTGCAGCTGGTGTTTTGAACTTGTTGTTCACTTGTAAGATGTGTACAAGAAGGGTGTTCCTAATTAGCCAGTGAGGTGAGGGGTGTTAATTGAGGACAAAGCAGGTCCAGTTTTCTTGGAACAGTCTATAGAAGGATGTGACATCTAATAAACTTCACTATTGCTTTCTGAGAAGACCTTGGAGTCTGTGTTGCTTCATTCAGCTGTCCCTAATACAAAAGTGACAGAAAACAAATGTCCAAATCTGCAGAGGAGGAACCAGAGGATGTACCTGCCTTGCCATGCATGTTTAACATGATTTGAAAGTGGGGTCTGGACAATCTGGGCTGGATCTGGCCGTTATGAGCTGGAAAAAACAAGCTCCTAATGTGAGCACTGCTCTGCAGCATTTCACATGCAGATACAATTTGCACATTTAACATGCTTTGAAAGCGGGATCTGGACAATTTGGGCTGGATCTGGTCATCACGAGCTGGGAAAAAGAAGCTCCAAAATGCAAAATTGAGTTTGGATTGTCACTGCAGGGCACAGGAGCAGGCTGGTGCCGTCGAAGCCAGCGGCGCTGCGGGAGCAGAGCCCACCCAGCTGTGCCCTGCCTGGATGACAGGGACAGCCAAGGGCTGTCTGTCAGCCACCACAGGATTTTCCTTCTCATGGTTACCTTGGGTCCACGTCCCCAGAGGAGAGTCTTGTGCTGCTGGGAGCACCTGGCTGTCCCTGACAGGGTTGGGTGGGCAAAGACAAGGCAGGAGGGTGACTGCAGCAGCAATCTGGATCAGGGAGGGCCCTCCACATCCTCTGAGAGGAAAACTGTGCGTGCTGACAGTCTGGCCAGGGAGAAAGTTAGATAAACTTTCCCAGGCATTGCTCTGGGGGAGCTTTGAGAAAGCTCAGGGAAAGAATTACAATAATATTTAATCTTTGCAGCTGGTGTTTTGAACTTGTTGTTCACTTGTAAGATGTGTACAAGAAGGGTGTTCCTAATTAGCCAGTGAGGTGAGGGGTGTTAATTGAGGACAAAGCAGGTCCAGTTTTCTTGGAACAGTCTATAGAAGGATGTGACATCTAATAAACTTCACTATTGCTTTCTGAGAAGACCTTGGAGTCTGTGTTGCTTCATTCAGCTGTCCCTAATACAAAAGTGACAGAAAACAAATGTCCAAATCTGCAGAGGAGGAACCAGAGGATGTACCTGCCTTGCCATGCATGTTTAACATGATTTGAAAGTGGGGTCTGGACAATCTGGGCTGGATCTGGCAGTTATGAGCTGGAAAAAACAAGCTCCTAATGTGAGCACTGCAGTGCTCACAGCACTCAAGCCCAGCTCACTCTGCTGCTCTGTGTAATTGGGATATGACAGAGTGGACGCAGGAAATCTGCTCTAAATGCCCCCCCGGACTGAGGGATACTGAAAATTGTAGATTTGTTGTACCATCAGGGTTAATGGAGGCTGCTTGCTCCAGTTCTGTAGCTGATCTTTCCTTTGACTCTCTAATGCCAGTGGATGAGGGAGGAATGTTTCTGATGGATGCTCCCAGGAAGGTGTAGCACAGCAGCCTTGGGGAAGAGGGTCTGCATGGACCCCCAGACCAAAACAGGGAGGGCTCTGAAATCCCCACTGGTATAAATTCAACTGGAAATAAGGAGAAATGAGCATCAAACTGCAGAGTGGGCTGAGGAATTTTTCCTGGACGAGGTGTTTATGCAAAGTATTCCACTGAGGGCTGTGTGTGGTCATGCAGGGCACCTGCCTGCAGGAGGGGGAAAGTGCTTCGTTTTGATTTGAATAGGTGGGATCACGGATTGAGAGCAGCCCTGGACTGTGTCTCATCAAAGGCCCTATGGAATTAACAAGACATGCAAATGTATGCAAATGCTGCCTTTAAACATAGAGGATTTAAACATGCTAATTAGATGCATATTAATTTTGTAAACAGACACATTGTCTGATCCGTAGCAACGGCTTCTCCATTCTTTGATATAGGGAAGGGTTTGTGTGAGCTTTACAGAGACAGAAGGGGGAAATGGTGGGGGAGAGGGGAGCTCAGGTCCCAGCAGAGGCTGGGAAAGGTGTGAGCAGAGCATGAATGGGCAATGACACAGAGGCACTTCATGCACCAGGAGGTGCTGACAAATGGGAAGGCTGCAAAACTTCTGAAATCTTAAAATTCTTTCAAGCTGTGAGTGTGTGAAAGTGAGCAGCCAGCCCATGGGGATGGACCAGAGGGGATCTCAGGGGTGACAAGGGTTTGGTGCTGCAGCTCCCTGCCACCCTGTTCTTCTAAGTTCTTCTGAGCCTTCTGATGTTTACATTCTTGTAACAAACTTTCTCACGGACTCTATGTAAATAATTAATTGTTTTACATTCCTTTCTGGAGAAGGATAAACTTGATGGACTGTTGGTTTTTCCAGTGTCATTGGAGAGGTGTCACTGTCACCTTCCAATCCACTTTAAAATATCTATAAATGTTGGAGTCAGAAATCAAACTTCCTTCTTTGACCTTGGAGGTTCCAGTGTGCATGTCATTTTATTTGATGTCCTAGAGTGACAGCTGCCAGCAGGGCCCCCTTACCTGGCTATGACAAAGAGCACACAGCTGACCCCCAGGTAGGCAAGGAGGATGTACATCCAGATGTCAGGAGAGAGGGGGTTGAGGAAGGAGAAGACGCTGGGGTTGGTCCCGTTGGGCTTCCTGTAGAGGATGCTGACCCCCAGGGTCATGAAGGGCTTGGAGAAGTCGATGGCTTTCTCCCGGACGTGAGTGATGGTCAGAGGAGCCACGGCCAGGTCAGCTTTCTGCAAACAGCACAGGGGGAGGACACAGGCAGGGAGAAAGGAGGAGTTAGAAACAGAGGTGTTTCCATCCCCTTGGAGACACCACAGCTCTCACACAGCACAAACAGGCCAAAAACCCCCAAAGTGCAGCCCTGGGGTTCCCCCCTGCTGTGGCACATGTGGTAAACATTTGCTGAGAAATACAGTGTTTGCTGTGAAATACAGATGTGGGTGCACAGTGTTTGCTGTGAAATACAGATGTGGGTGCACAGTGTTTGCTGTGAAATACAGATGTGGGTGCACAGTGTTTGCTGTGAAATACAGATGTGGGTGCACAGTGTTTGCTGTGAAATACAGATGTGGGAGTACAGTGTTTGCTGTGAAATACAGATGTGGGTGCACAGTGTTTGCTGTGAAATACAGATGTTGAGGCACAGTGTTTGCTGTGAAATACAGATGTGGGTGCACAGTGTTTGCTGTGAAATACAGATGTTTGTGGTACAGTGTTTGCTGTGAAATACAGATGTGGGTGCACAGTGTTTGCTGTGAAATACAGATGTTTGTGGTACAGTGTTTGCTGTGAAATACAGATGTGGGGGCACAGTGTTTGCTATGAAATACAGATGTTTATGGTACAGTGTTTGCTGTGAAACACATGTTGGAGTACAGTGTTTGCTGTGCAGGAGAGAGGGGGTTGAGGAAGGAGAAGACGCTGGGGTTGGTCCCGTTGGGCTTCCTGTAGAGGATGCTGACCCCCAGGGTCATGAAGGGCTTGGAGAAGTCGATGGCTTTCTCCCGGACGTGAGTGATGGTCAGAGGAGCCACGGCCAGGTCAGCTTTCTGCAAACAGCACAGGGGGAGGACACAGGCAGGGAGAAAGGAGGAGTTAGAAACAGAGGTGTTTCCATCCCCTTGGAGACACCACAGCTCTCACACAGCACAAACAGGCCAAAAACCCCCAAAGTGCAGCCCTGGGGTTCCCCCCTGCTGTGGCACATGTGGTAAACATTTGTTGAGAAATACAGTGTTTGCTGTGAAATACAGATATTGGAGTACAGTGTTTGCTGTGAAATACAGATGTTGGGGGTGCAGTGTTTGCTGTGAAATACAGATGTTGGGGCACAGTGCTGTGAAATACAGATGTTGGGGCACAGTGTTTGCTGTGAAATACAGATGTGGGGGCACAGTGTTTGCTATGAAATACAGATGTTTATGGTACAGTGTTTGCTGTGAAACACATGTTGGAGTACAGTGTTTGCTGTGAAGTACAGATATTGGAGTTCAGAGTTCACTGTAAAATACAGCACAGCCAAATGGAGGCCTTACAGCCTCTGCAGCTTCTGCCCCGATGTGATGAGCTCCTCTGAAACGGTCAGAAAAATCAGATTTTACAGAGTCCTAAAGTGTCAGTGGCCCTTTTCTTGCTTGCTCCTCACCACAAGACTCTACAACGGTGAGCAGGCTGTGTGCAGAGCCTGCTGTTGGCAGCAGTGGTTTGTTTTTGCTGTTGTTGTTGTCCTTCCTTTCATTTGTTGTTGTCCCGCTTTCACGCTGATGCAAGAGGAGAGGAGGGCGAGGATGGAGCTGCAGGGAGCCATGCTGTGGCAGTGTGAGGTAAAAGGTTCAATTTCTTTTCCCTCAGTCATTTCATGATGCAGTTTGAGGGCTCAGTCTCAGGCAGGAGTGCTCGGTGCCTGGGGGTGGAGGGAGGGAGGTGTGCAGGTGAGACCCTCTGAGGAAACACTGTTTAATGATGTTAAAACACTCCTCAGCCCGTCCTGCTGGAGTGCTCTGAGCTCCCTGAAGAATTTCAGCTGAGCATATTCTTTATCCTGACAGCTTGTATGAATTGTGTTTGTTTCTATTATTTCTGTTATTTGCTAATTTGTGTTAATTCAAGGAGCAACCACGTTCACCCTCTTTCTGTTGGGTAAGAGCTGCATTCATTCCTCTCACTAAACATTCATCCAGGTGCTTAAAAGCCACAAGTAAACACGTCCAAGGTTTCCTCAATATCACCCTCCTTGCCTGAGCTTTGCAAATCATTCTTTGAGATTGTGAACTTCCGAGGAAACACAGACACATAAATTACAGCTCTGAAGTTGAGCAGGACCTCCCCCCACGCCAGGAGCCCCAGCGAGATTTATTTAACATCTGGTTCTGAAAATTAAAATTCTAAATTACCCATGAGTGATAATTATCTAGAGATACAGTAGATTTGTCATTATTCATGGACTTTAAATCAATACTGGCTGGAACATGCTTTGCTTCAGCAGGAACTGGGGGCTCACTGTAGGAGCCAGAGCAGATCCCTGGCCTGTGCTGGGGGTAAAGGTTGTACTAATGGTTTCATCTGACCTTGCAATCTGTGATCAAGTCAGTGCAATATTTATAAATAGAGGAATCTGGGTGTTTTACTGTAGGAAGAGTCTCTACATGAGCTTTTGTCCATTTACACAAGTGTGTGTGTGCAAGGGTTCCCCTCCAAAGAGTGCAGCCTTAGAGCTCCTGAACAGAGGCCTTCAGGAATTATGTAACAAGGGTAAAAATGATGTGATTTTTGTTCTAACATGGCTCTCCAGCTGCATCCTGCTTTCCTTTCCTTCTCACTTTCCAGATGGAAATACATTTTTACACCAGCCTGGTACACGAAAAGCTTCGTTTTGGCATTTGTCAAAACTGTGGAAAATGGGGACAATATTTTCCCAGTGAGCCCATTCTGCCAGCTGTGGTTGTGGTGACAGGGACAGAAGCTGAAGGGGGTTGGGGGTGGCATTGGTGGCTGCCCAGCCTGAGCTGGAGATGTTGTTCTGCATCCTGGGGACCATCCTGGCAGGGTTGGAGCTTGGCTGCTCCCACCACCTTCCAGCACACCTGGAAATTTTGGCTTAGTGCTCCGCACAGTCACAAGGCAGAAATGGCAAAAGAAATGCAGCATTTTCCCTCCTCCATCACTTCTGTGTGGGTGTCCTGACTCACCAGGGAAAGGCAAAGAAGATGTTGAAGGATTTGGCTATGGGTTTTTCTGAAGGAGGGAGCAAATGTTCTGTGGTCAGAGCTCGCTGGCAATGGCCAGGCTGAGGGAGCCTCAGCCAAATTTGTCAGAACAATAACAGTGAGCTAAAGAACAGCCTGGAGTTTGTGCTTTGCCACGGAAAATGAAGAGAGAGAACTCTGCATGGATGCCCAGGGATCCAACTGCTTTTAGAGCTGAAATAAAATTTTATTGTGTGGCTCCAGCAGCTCCTGTGATGTGCTCCCAGCCCTGTGTCCTTGCAGGGAATGTCACATTCAGGCAGGACAGAGCAGGGATTCTGGAGCCTGGCTGGGGTGTGTCCTGAGCAATTAGAGGCAGCACAGAGCTGCACTTCCATATCCTTTTTATCAATGCAGATTTTTCTGAAGGTGGCCTCTAATTAAGGCTTTGCTGACAGAGAGGATCTAAATCAAACCCACCAAGGATGAAGCTTTGATTTGTCGTGCTCTGACATTCCAAACTGGGCAGTCAATTACCAGACTCTGGCTGCTTCCTTTGCTCAGCCCTGGCTCTTGTGCTGTTGCAGTCAGGTGGGTTTTATTAAAAATGAGGAATTAGAGCAAGTGCCAGTGGCTTAAAGACCCTTGTCCAGCAAAACCACTTAAGCCTGCACCTCTGTTTTACTGGAGCTCACGCGTCTTCCAAGTCCTGTCCCTGTTCTTAAGTGTTCTGCTGAATTGAGGCCAAAAAGATGAATTCTGCCAAGGCAGCTACACATCAAATGCAGACACTTCTCCAACACACCTCCAAGGGTTTGGATCTCCTCATTCACCCAGTTCCAGCGTTTCACTTGGCTGGAGCAGCTGTGAGTTCACCGTGTGTTCAGCACGGGGATGATGGTATTTGCTGCAGAGATACTTGGTTTCCATCAGAAAATGCCAAGTCTTATCTCCAAGTTCTCATTATCAGGGAGATGTGGCCTGTGGGTCAGGACAGCTCTTGTGCAGGCGTGGTCACTGTGGGAATCCTGCAGTTCCTGACCTCAGCCAGAGCCAAGCCGTGGGCAGTGGCTGGTCATGGCAGAGCCCACCAACAGCAGAAGCACCAAGATAAATATTTATTCAGGAAAAGAAGCTGCCTCTGTGCTTATTTTGCCAATCTGCGTTAGGTATTTACATAAACTAATCATGTGTGTGTTGCCTGAGAGACAGAAACAGTGCGTGTGTTTTACTGATTTAATTGTTACCCAGGCCTGGCACTGTCATCCCTCGGTGTCTCTTGCCACTGCCAGCACTGGGGCTTCTTCCTTGGGCCCTGTCTCTGCTTCCTGCTCTCCTGGCTTGGCTGCTGTGCCCTGCTCCTGCTGCCTGTGTGTGCTGGGCTCACACCTGAGCTCCCTGCACCTTTCCCCGGCTGTCCTGGGGATGAGGCACAGCTGGGGCGGCTGGGCTCCCCTGCAGCTCATGGCTCAGAGAGGGGGGCTGCTGCTGGGGCAGCTGTGGGGGTCTCTGTGAGAGCCCCCTGCCTGCCCAGGGGCAGGGAAGCCCTCACAGGGAGCAGGGATGCTCAAGGAGAGCAGGGTCAGTGCTGAGTGTCTGACTCCAGCTCTTAAGGGCTGCTCTTGCAGTCTCACAATTTGGACATCGTTTTTGTCAATGGGTTTATTCGATATTGGGGGGAATTAAGAACAGATGTTGGCAGGAAAAACCCAGCTGTGAGCTGAAGGGGAGGAATGAGAGCCATGAGGTCCTGCTGGGGCTTTTATAATCTTCGCTTTAAGGAAGATCTCCAGAGCTGGAACTGCCATTGATTGTACCTGGGAGATGTGAAGGCTGGAGGATTCAGGTGAGAATGGCCCTGCTGTGAGAAACAAGCCCTATCCTATGGATTCCTGGCAGGTGAAGCAGCCAGCAAGGGGCAGGGACACCTGCTGAGCACGCAGAGAACCTGAACTCCCAATACACAGATCCTTCACCTGGATCCCTGAGGACGACCCAGTCCTGAATCCACCCAACAGTGATCTGAGCACAAAAGGAAAAGCTCTTCTGGTTTATTTCCATCCTGTCCCTGAGTATGACCCAGTCCTGAATCCACCCAACAGTGATCTGAGCACAAAAGGAAAAGCTCTTCTGGTTTATTTCCATCCTGTCCCTGAGTATGACCCAGTCCTGAATCCACCCAACAGTGATCTGAGCACAAAAGGAAAAGCTCTTCTGGTTTATTTCCATCCTGTCCCTGAGTATGACCCAGTCCTGAATCCACCCAACAGTGATCTGAGCACAAAAGGAAAAGCTCTTCTGGTTTATTTCCATCTTGTCCTCAGCACTGAGGTCCTGCAGTGTCTGAACAAAAGGTGGAGGACACTTCATCCAATTAAATTGTTTGCTCCCTATCCCTGGCCCAGTGACATCCAAATGAAGCCCCATTTGATGACACATGAGATGAAACATCCACCAGTGCAGAGCATTAGTGGGGAGCTGGCAGTGTGGTGCAAGATGTACTTCTGCCAGAATTTACTGTCAGAAAATGCCCACTTATTGTGGAATTGTTAAATCAGCTGTCAGGAGTCATCCCTAAGGATGGATATTACAAGTCCTCTACAGTTCCCATTGGCAGGGATTTCCATCAGAAACCCCAGTATTTGCCACATCTCTTTTATTCCCACCTGAAGTTTCAGATTGAATGGCAATGTGATGTGCACTGTGGCAGCAGAAGACAAGTTTTATTTGTGAACAAGTTTGTGCAAAATGTCCAGAACAACTCATTCTGCTGCTTTTATGGGATTCTGCCCACAAACAATAGGGAAGATTTGCAGGTATTGCTTTGCCAGACAACTGGAATTTATAAATCAGAACGGATGGGCCACGGTGTGCAACGGAGCTTTGCTTGTATCAGTAATAATTTCTATGAATAAACATCAATAGCAGTTCACTGTTGCTGAAAGGAGGAGGTTTGGCACTTGTCAGGTTCTCTGTTGTGAATAAAGGGCTCAGGAGCTTCTCTGCATCGCCTGGGTTCCCCAGACCTCCCTGAATACCTGAGTTCAGCTCTCGTGGCCCTTCTGATCAAGGCTCCTCTGTGGGAATGGCCAGAGGGGTGACAATAAGCAGTAGGCTGAGGTTACTTCTCCAGGGAATGAACTGAACTCCTCAAAACAGGGACTTTTTGTGCTGAGGATGAGCAGCAGATGAAAGGCAGCGGGGCAGGGTGGTGCATTCAGCTGCATGAGGCTGTTGTCTCTGGATCTGCTACTGGGGACCTGTCAGAGACAGGGTCGTGCTGTGGCTGCTCTGATTGCTCTTGCTTTTCCTGTTTATGCTTAAGGCCAGACTAGAAACAGAGGGATTTTACAAAGGATCATAGCCTGAGGCATCCCTGCCTGTGGCCAGGCGTGTCTGGATCAGAGAGAGCAGAGGGGGAGGATTCGTGACTGCATCAAGCCCACAGTGCTCACTGTGTAAACACCTGTCCCAGCACGTGATTTACCTTTGGGGGGCCAAATTTTGGGGATTTACCTCTTTGGTGACAGCACCTTTGTCCCCCAGACACTGTTGTCATGCACCTACCCTCACCCAGCTCCTCTGAGGGCATCTCCACCCCGTGCAGGCCACCCCAGGGGACAAGTGCCCCTTGCTTTGCCCATCTCCCCCTATCCAAATTTCAGCTCAGCTGAGTTGGAATACTTCTGGTACACAGAACCTGCTGCTTCCACAGCTCCCAGACCCTCTGAGCAACAATAATGACCATTTTAGCCTCTCACCTCACCCCAGGAGCACTCCCTGCTCTGCACAGGTCGTTCAGGGAGCCCACACCAGCTCAGCCCACCTGTGTCACAGCAGTCCAGGGGGCTAAGGGGGTCTTCAGCAATGCAATGGCTTTCTGCACTGAATTAATCCTGACCTGGATTATTACCCTGAATTCTGCACTGAGTTAATCCTGACCTGGGTATTTGGACCTCACAAAATCCTGCCTGCTTCATGCTCCCACCTGAATTATTCCAGTTTATTTATGAGAAGGAGATGCTGAACACAGAGTAAAGCCAGCTCACATATCAAACTCTGGATGTGGGCAGCCCTGTTTTCATCACTACAGCATGATTTGAAGTCTCTAACACTTTTCCTCCTGGGTGTGAAATAAGCTTGATCTGGCCTGTTGGATGTCCATGGGTTGTGCCTTTCCCCACACCACGGGAAGATGCTGCTGAGGAAGGGCCCATCTGGCTGCAATTCCACTTCTGAAGGCTTTGCATAAACACTGCTATAAAAAGCAGTGACATGCAGATAAAGGAGCTAATGGCTTCATGTGGGGCCTGGGCATGTCCCTGCAGGCACATGCTCAGCCATGCAGGGCAGAGCACAGGACTGCATCTCAGAGTTAAGAATATAACTTGCAAGAAGAGGAGGTTTGGCCCTTTCCTGCTGTTTGGCCCTTTCCTGCTGCTGTGTGTTGACTTGCTTTTTAGATAGTTACCCAATAAATACTACAATGCAGGTTTGACCATGAATTTTATGTTATTTAATGAGATTGCTCCTCAAACCTCCTTCTTGTCTATCTCAGGTAGCTTCAGGAATGGCTGAAGCCTCCTGAGAGCCTTGTGGTGCTTTGCAGGACACTGGAAGTGACATGGTTTGGGCTGAATGACCATAATTAGTTGACCACAGCTTTGGGAAAGGCTGAAGCCTCTTGAGATCCTTGTGGTGTCTTGCAGGACACTGGAAGTGGCATGGTTTGGGCTGAATGACTGACTGGCTTCTATTCCCTTGGGAGGGATTTGCTCCTTGTGAGCCCTGCAGTGCAGTGAGAGAGCTCCAGGCCCCTTTCCCAGCCCTGAGAGAGCTCCAGAGCCCCTTCCCAGCAGTGGGAGAGCTCCAGAGCCCAATCCCAGCAGTGGGAGAGCTCCAGAGCCCATTCCCAGCAGTGAGAGAGCTCCAGAGCCCATTCCCAGCAGTGGGAGAGCTCCAGAGCCCATTCCCAGCACTGAGTGAACCCCAGAGCCCATTCCCAGCACTGAGTGAACCCCAGAGCCCATTCCCAGCACTGAGTGAACCCCAGAGCCCATTCCCAGCAGCGGGGCCAGGCAGAGGAGCCGTGCCCCAGGGGGCTCTGCCGAGGGGCACAGCTGCCACTCGGTGTCAGCTCTGATCTGTGTCACAGGCATCACTCGGAGCAGCAGAGCTTCCTCTGGGACACTGCCACTCGTCTAACTCGGCAGGGCTGTTGTGTAAGAGGCTCTAAAATCTGTGTTTTGAGCTGCACGGAGTTTTCCAGAAGGAAAAGCACCAAGGCAGGTTTGCAGAGCTCCCCCATGAGATGGAGTCCTGCTCTGCTCCCAGGGCTGTCCTTGCCTGCCCTTGCTGCTCTCCTGCTCCCTGGGCCAGGCCAGCTGAGGCCTGCCACGCTTGTCACAAACTGATTGTCACTTTGTCCCTATAAAAGGACATAATAATTATCATCTGCATTTTACAGATGGAGGGAGCAGTGCACAGAAGCAACTTGTCCAATGTCATTTAGGGCAGAGAGAGCAGATCTGGGAGGCCAGCCCAGCTCCTGAGCCACTCCTCAGTCCCAGCCAGTGCTTGACTCTCCACACACCACAGTGACTCACCCAGCAAACTCATTCTTCTCCCATGAATGGTAAGAGCATCACAGCTCTACAGGGGATTATTTTTGTTTCTTTGCTGCTTAGGCTGTGGATTCAGAATGTAGCCAGGACCTGGAGGTGGTCAAGGGCTGCCCCAATTGAGCAGGATGCTCAGGAGGAGAGCGCTCTGCACTGCCTGCACTGCCGCCTGTGCCACAGAGAGCAGGCATTCTTTTTGTCCTTAGCTTTTCTTCCAGAGGCCTTCTCTGGGAATCAGATATTCATAAAAACACCAGCTTTCCTCACCTCTGTAACTGGGCCCTTGGGATCACAGGATGTGCTGGAGGCAAGATATCTAATTAAGAAACTGAGCAAGCTCTGGCCGCGAGTGGCGGTTTCAGACGCGGCGATGCTTTGGCGGCTGCGGGAGCAAAGCTGCTGCTGCAACAGGTTCCCTGGGGCTTAAAGGGCTCCTGGAAGTGGCCATGGAAGGAGAAACACAGCTGCTGTGTGGCAGAGGGAGCTCCGTGTCCCAGAAGATTTTTAGCAAATAAGTTGCTTTTATAGGAAATAAAAAATGAAAGTGTCCAGGGCACAGCTGCTCCCGCAGTCTGGATGTCTCCTGTGGGCTGGGCAGTGTCTGGGACATGTCTGGGCTCCCCAGGCTGCACTGGTGCTGTGCCCTTGCCTGTGTTTGTCCTCGGGGGTGAGAGCAGCTCATGCTGCCAGCCTCAGGCCCAGGGGAAGCCTCTGCCCAGCCTGTGTCCCACTGTGGGACAGGCTGTGCCTGGAGCCACAGAGCCCATTTCTGTGCTGGGAAAACGGCCCTTTTCAGGAATTTCAAATTAATATTTGGAAGAGCCGGACACAGGGATATTCTGGCAACCAGTGTGACAAGGAGCCTTGTCACACTGGTTGCCAGAATCTTTTAAGATTCTTCAGCCTCTTCAGCTCCACCATTGCAGGCCAGCGAGAAATGGCACCTGTCCCACCCCAGAGAGCCAGCCCAGGGACAGCTCCAGGGACAGCCTGGCTCAGCCCACCCTCAGCAGCCACCCACGGGCTCACTCACGTGGTCGATGAGCTCCTTGATCATGCCATTCCACTGGCCCTTCTCATCCTGTGCGCCGTATTTGCCATCCTCCACCAGGCGGATCTCGTAGGAGAAGCCCAGGATGATGGCCAGCTCCTTCAGCAGGTCGATGCAGTAGCCCTCGAAGCGGTCGTTCCCAAATAGGGCGGTGTCGGACTTACGGAACATGACAAAGGGCTCCTCCTGCACAGGGAAAGCAAAAAGTCCCAGTTCAGGGTCAGCTGGAGGCAAGGCCACCTCTGCAGGTCAGCCCGAGCCGCCAGGCACGGCTCTCCAGGCAGGGCTGGCACTGTGACATGTTGGGAATAAATTAACTTTGCACAGCGCATCAGCTAATTAGCAACCTTGTTTACCCCACAAAATTTAATTTTGTCTCTTCTGAGCAGCCAACTGTTTTCCATTTGGTAGGATTTCAGGGAGAAAAATAACCATTTCATGCTCTGAAAATGAAGTGTTAGAAACAGCAAAAGAGGGGGAGGACAAACTCAGCCCCGCGCCCTGCACACGGTACCTGCCATCCACCACAGGCTGCTGGGTGAAATTCGGGGTGAAGGAGCTGTGCATGGCTGGGGCCACCCCAAAACCTCCCCACTCAGCTCACTGGCACTCCTCTGTGCTGGCACTGCCTGGTGGACACTGCCCTGCTGCTGCCCAGGGAAACTTTGCGCTGTGTGCTGCACTTCTGGCTGCCTGGGAGTGACCCATAGTTGAGCTCCAGCACAGGGGACAGGAGCTAAAGCAGTGACCTGTGGATCCCTCCCCTCAAGCAGGAGCTGGCAGGTGAAGTCACCCAGAGATGTCCAGCATCCTTTGGTGCCTCTCAGGCTTGGGCAGCCACCGAGGACGAGGAACACTGGGGAGCCTGAGGGAAAAACGTGTGGAGGACAGATGGAAATGGAAAAGGGGGTGGGCAGCAGGCAAGAGCTGGAAGACAAGAGGAGGGTGAGGTACCTCCAGCGAGTCCCTGGCTCAAACTGGGGGTGTCTGCAGGGCTCCTGTCCTTGCTGTGGGGTGGCCAGAGAGGGAGGGTGAAGGAGGGCTACACATTGTGCTGGCAAACACCCTCTGTGATTTTGCCCAGGCATGGGGGCCTTGAAGAGGTGGGAGGGCAGGTCTGGAGCCCTCATTAGAGCCCATTAGAGTCACAGTGCCTGGCTTGGTGGGGCATGGATGCCCTGCCCAGGGGTGCTGTGAGGAGGGGTCTCAGGTGGTGCTGTCTCTGCCCAGCTGGCAGCCCCCAGCTCTGCCCTCCCGTGGGGCTCTGTGCTCCCACGGAGGGGCAGGGGGTGCTCCTTTGGCCCAGCAGCAGGGTCAGGAGGGGACGTGGCAGCACACGGAGCCCCATTTGCAGAGTTCTAAAGCCCAGCTGATCACATCACGCCCATGGAGTTTGGCTTGGCACGCGCAGCTCGGCTCAATCCTGCGCTCCCCCGCCGCCTCCTCGGCGTTCTGCTCTGGAATTAGTGCTTTGTTTGTGAATCAGCTGAATCTATGGATCTGGATATAAATATGCTGGCTCCAGAGCAGCCATAAAGCACTATTAATTTTGGGAAGCGCTGTAGGGATTACATACATATTTAACAGCCGAAGCACTGAACATTAGGACGCCACTCGCTTCAGTAATGTATCTCCAGGTCTCAAACATTTCCTAGGGGGTAATTCTGAACTCTGTGAACCACTTATTCACGGACTATTTCACAATTTATTACTGAAAATAGCCAGACATCCAATTCACAAGCTCTCTCAGTTTGCTAATCGATTTCTCAGTGAAGGTGCCCTCAATTTCATAACTTCACAGTTCCCATATTGCTTGGGGAGAGCGGCACTGGCTGCTGGGGTAATATTTCTCTTCCAACAAGTCACTGCAATATGAGCAAAAGGGGAAAAAATAGCCTTTCATGCTTTTTCTTTTAAAGGCTCCTCCTATGGCTCTTCTCTCGTCATTTACAGCAGTGCAGAACTACAAAGGGGTGTTGCAAATGCAAATAACATCCAGGGTTCTATTTTGCGTTTCAGGCTCCAGCAAACGCAGTGCCATCACTGCAGAACTCAGGTCTGAGCACATTCCCTCCTCCCCTGGGCACAGGGAACCAGGACAGCCCTGGTTCCAAGGTGGAAAGCCCGTGGCACGTGTGCAGGCCCATGGAGTGGCACAATTAATGGGAACTGATATCACCCCGTGCCTTATGTAATTTGTACGTGCTCGCAGAGCTGGAGATGGAAATGCTGCCTGAGAAAAGCCTGTCAAAGGCAGATGGCTGACAGTCCCCTCCTGGCTCCATCGTTTTGCATTATGCTGTGGCCTTTGGGGTATGGTGGGGACCATGGCCTGGACCCAGACAGTTCCACAGCCATGGAAATGTTTAATGGGAAAAATGTCGTGTGGTGGATGGGAAGTTCGTCAGGAGGAGTGGCTGATTTGCAAGGAAAGCTGCTGCAGCATCTGTCTTTGGCTTATGTTCAGCTTCCCCCCTGCTAACCCCTTGCTGAGGGATACAAGACCTTTGGTTCCAGCCCCTCTGCCCCAGACCAAGTGTCCCCTGTCTCTGTTCCCCTCTGGGCACCTTGGTCCCATTCCTTTTATGATACAAATCCACCCTATATCCAGTCCCATCCTTTTAAAAGGCACAGGGGTGCTGCGAGAGACATTGGAGATCCCTGGGACATCCCTGGGGTTCATGGGGAAGGACAGTGACAGTTTGAGAGTCCCCTACCAGCACCGTGGTGACAATCAGAGATCTGTTGCTCAGCGAGTCCGTGACGTTGGGCCCTCTTCCTTTGGAGATTTCTGTGATGTTCAAACCATCTGAAGGGCTCCATGCTCCAACCTGAAAGGGAGCAAAGCAACACAGTGATCCCCCATCTCCAATTCCTCAATCCCCACCTGCATTCCTTAATCCCTACCTTGAATTCCTCACAGCATCCTACTGGCCTGGAAAAGAGAACTTTCTTCTTTTGTCTGCAGCAAAACTGGAATTACCATAAATTAACCCTTCAGCTGCAGGTCAGTCCATGTTCCACATGTGGCATATGTTCCACAGCCCCTGTGCTGCTGCAGTGGATGAAGACTGTGGAATTTAGGGGCTGAATGAATCAATTTGCAGAGGCAGGGCATAGAGCAGCAATCAAACCACACTAAAGAGTCAAATCTGGGCAAGGATAAAGCACAACAAAAGAAAAATAACCACAAATCTGAGTCAATTTTCTTTCTTTTCCATTTCCCCACCAATTTGCTTTGGTGGGAAGGATTAAAAATGGCTCGACCAGCTCTGCAGATCCCTGATAGGGACCATTCCTGCCGTGGAAAATCAGCTGCAGGTTTCTAACACATCTCTTGGCAGGGCCCTGGGCCCCCCTTTGGGAAATCCCTGCAATGAGGGAGTCTCAATCCTGGCTGCAAACCTGGAGGAGGGGGTGGCACAGGCACATCAGCTCTATTTCAGGTGCTCTGTTTCCTCAAGCTGTCAAATGTAATAAATTATTAGACTTCAATGAAGTCTATTGATCCAGAAATGGCAAAGCATGTCTCTGTTTAAGGAAGTCATCTGGGTGAGGCTAAGCCTGTTAACCTGATCTCCACGGTGCAGGGGAGGCTTTGGGACAAACTTTGAAGGCAGGAGTGGCTAAAGGACTGTGACAGCGAGATAAAATGTCAGGAAAGCTGGAGGAATGTGGGAGTGCTGCCAGCAAATGGAGCAGGGTGGCCACGGAGCCAGCCTGGCAGTGAGAAAAAAACAAACCCCACCTGGAAATGGGAACAGAATGATCCATCTGTAGGGTCAAACTGCAAGGTGGGACTCGGAGAGAAGCCAAAGGCAGCCAGCTCAATCCACCAGGGAGCCAGCAGCTTCCCATCTTTTATTTATTGCTGTTTTTAAGATTCTTCAGCCTCTTCAGCAGTCCAAGGGGAGAACTTGGTTTTACTGCATCCCCAAAAAGAGACTTTGTAATGAGCAATGCTGCCTGGCAAAAAAAATTGTCATAAATTCTAGAAGAGTTTCCATGAACTTTGTGAAAGGTTTTAAATATTTCAGGTAAAACTGAAGCGATCCCCCATCTCTGCCTTGGATCACAAAACAGCTGCAATGTCAAAAATTATTATTATTGTGGATGGGAAAAAAGCAAGTCTGAGAGGCCCCAGTTTGCTGCAGTGCAGCCCCAATCACTTCTGCCTTGCTACGTTTTCTTTAAGAAAATTAAATGCATGGCACTTAAGGCTGAATTAATCAGTTTAAAATATTAAAAAAGGAAGAAAAAGGAAAAAGTGCTTTAAGAGAACTGTGTGAGTCAGATAGTCAAACTATATGTAATTAGGATTTGGTAATACTCCTGTAATCCCTGGAACATCCAGGAGGTATGAGGATCAGGGGTTCAATCCTAAAGCTCAACAAACATAAGCTGTGATACATAAAGCATAATCCAGCTGGGATTTGTTTGTAGTTTGGTGTTTTGTTAGTTCAGATTAACTATTGACAGAATTCTGGCTTCAACAGAGATTTGACATCGATACTTTAAAACCCCTCTGGAGCTGACACGTAGCTTTCAGAAAAATAATGGTGGGAACTGTGAAATCTCTGAATTATTGGAGACAAAAGTTGATGGGGTGTGCAGGGGACACGTCGAGGTTTGGCAGCTTCCAGCGTGCCTGATGTGACAGAGAACTGCAATAACTCCAGCTGGTGCCAGCTCTGCTCAGCCCACCTGAGGGGTGTTGGTTTGACAGGTGATTCTGTGGCTGTGCTTAAACATTTGGGTTCATGTGGTACAAAAGGCTGGTATGTTTTCTATTATCTGCCCAACACAGCTCTCCAGCAGCGCGTCGGTGCTGCTGGACTTCAAAAAGATGTGTTGTTATTTTTGGTTAGGCTCTATAAACAAAATATTTTGCAAAAAAAATAAGGCTACAAAGGTCAGCTGCTGCTCAGTTCTTGTGAGTACCGGCACCTTCCCCAGCTCTGTCCTGCCTCCTTTCTCAGCCAGCGAGACTGAAGGTCACTGGGTTGATTTGAAACGTTTCCTTTATTCCAAATTTGACACCAAAAGCTCCCCAGCAGGAGAGGGCTGTGGTGACCTTGAGCTGTGTCACCTGAGGCACCGAGCTGCTGCTGTGGTGGGGAAGTGTGGCAGCCATTCATTTCAAATCCCAGGAATACCAGCCAGTGAGGAAGGGGGATGTGGCACGGGAGCCTCCCAGTGCAGGATCCCTCCCCTCCAAACAGAGGATGGATCCAGGGCTGCCTCCCTGTGCCGAGGGATTAATTCCCTGGACAAGTCCCCTGTGCTCTCAGGCCATGCACAGGTAACTGAAATCCCTCCCTGCTGCCAGCCAGGTGTCCCGTGGGCTCAGAACCTGTCCCCTGCCCAGAGGGACAGAGCCAACAGGCTCAGAACCTGTCCCCTGCCCAGAGGGACAGAGCCAGTCCCGTGCCCAGCTGCCACGGGCACCTGGTAGCTGTCAGAAAGCAGACTCTGCTCTAGAAAAGGCCTTGATGCCCTGCCAAATTCCTCCTGTACAGGTGATAGACACCTGTAGCAGGACAGGGACACAGAGCTGCTCACAGGGTAGTCAGAAACATGGAATTTCTTGGAAATCACAGCTGCCTGTGCTCCAGCCACTTGCTGCTCTGTTTGTCATCAGATGATCTCACCTTGAAACCTGCATTCTAAGGGCTTTAAGGCTGTGTGTGTTGCCTTTTTATTTTAAGTTTGTTTTTTTTTAAGTAATTGAAGAGAAGGAAATTAAGTCCCCAGGCACACCTGGGATCAGATTTGCACATCAGCATGGTTTTACTGTGCCCAGAGGAGATCTGCACTAATTTGGAGGACCTAAGGCTGCAGTCTTTATGCTCTTGACCCTCATGACACCCCCAGCCAGGCAGGCAAGGCCACATTTCTCTTTTTTCCTCATTGTCCCTTAGATAATAAACAAAATACCCAGTGCTTCGTCCTGCAAATTCCAGGCTGTAATAAACTGGGGCTGTTCCCAGCCTTGGGCAATTTTATAGTGGGAAATGAGTCCAGATGATGATCTCCAGTGCTGTGGTCTCCTCAGAGAATAACTGAGGGTTTGTGAGCCAGGCCAGCAAGAGGGAGTGGGACAGGTGTCATTCCTGCCTGCTTAGGGCAGGGAGGGGTTAATGGATGCTCACAAAGTTTCTTTTTCCTCCACTATCCCAGGAAAGTGCCACAAGCACTTCTGCAATCTGTAATCCCACGCACTGGCTTCAGGGCGAGTGAGTCATGGTTGAGCATGGAAAAGGATCTGAGAAATCCTACAAAGTGAATATCCTTTTATATAAACCCCAGAAACCTGGAATCAATACAGCACCAACCATTCCTCTGTTGCTGAGCACCAGCGTTATCCTCAGCCACATGCAGATGAAACAAACCCTGCCTACCTTTTCAAGGCCGTCTTCTTTGAGACTGATGATATCCAAATCAAAATCTGTCCGTAAACCACTGGTTTTATTAAAGACAATGCGTCCCGTTAATCCTTCCCATTGGGCCTGTGGAAGGGAGAAAAAGTAGCAGGGCTGTTACTCAGTATCATAAATAATCTTTTGCCCTCCACTGTATGTTCTTTTAATTAGTCCTTATGCTGGTTCTTTCTCCCTAAAGAGCCTGATTAATTAATAATCCCTCCGCTGCTGCTCAGACTGCAGACGGAGCTGGAGATTTCCTTCACTCTCTTGCAGTCCTTGCTACAATTTCTGTTTGCACCTTTTGTGCTCACCAGCTGTTGCAGGACGTGATGACTCAGTAGAAAACGACTTGCATTTATCACGGCATCCTTGTGAGCTGCGTTCATCCTTGTAGTGCTGATAAACACCGGCTGCAGGGAGCCTTTCTCCAGCCAGGAGAAATCCCTTTGTGCACCAACTCGCTGGTGCTTCCAAGGTGTGTGGAAGCTTAAATGTTGGGAATGCTTCCCTCTGTCCTTCCAGAGGGAGAGTGGAGCAGAAGAGGCCAAGAATGAGTTCATGCAAGCAAGATCTGAGGTTTGGAAACAGGCACAGGAATCTGGGGCCGCGTGCTGCTGGTGCCCTGCTTCAGTTTTTGGCAGCATAAGGACGGGAAAGGTGCTCACTGGGACTGGGGACATCCCATTCCCAGAGATTTTTCAGTGCTTGGCTGACTGAGATCCTGGACAGCCTGGTCTGACAGGGATGAGGAGCAGGAGCTTGGGGTAAAGATGCCTCAATTCAATTCCACAAAAAAAAAAACCCCATGTAATTTGATTTCTTTCCCACTGTTCATTTTGCAGCACCCCTGGAATGAATGCCTCTGATTTAGGAGGTGATAGAACCCCCAGTGCCAGGTGCTCTGTGCCAGCAGAGCAGGAGCTGGGGGACAGCAAGCTGTCCAATGCCTGGGGACAGTGCTGGATGTGCTGTGGCATTGTCCTGAGGAGAATGTTCCTGCAGGAATGCCAGGCTGCTGCTCAGCATCACATCCCAGCAGTGGGGAGCTGGGCCTGGGGATCTCTCCCCTGAGCAGCCCCACTGGGAAACGTGTTTCCTTTATGGGTGGGGGAGCTTGAAATATCCCAGCATGATCAAGGTGGCATAATGTATTCCCAGGGGGAATAACTGGCGTTCCTCCCAATAAACACGCTCCTCTGGCTCCCCCTCATTAATTCCTGAGGAGCAGTGACAGCCTGCTCCCAGTGCTGCCACCCTGGAGTCCTGGGGAGGCTCGTGTTTGCTCATTTGGGCGTGCAGGTGGTTTGCCTGTGGGACTTGCAGCCCTCGGAGCCCCCCGGGAGCCGGGGAAAACACGGAATGTTTGTCGTGCCCAGCTGGAGCAAACACAGCTGCGTGCTGAGCCCTGCAGCTCCCGTGGGGCTGCGGCGCTGCTGATGACTTTTTGGGCTACCTGAAAACAGAGGCCAGGCAACATTAAGAGAATAAAAAGGGTTATATTTGTGGAAGGGTCTTCAGGTCTTTGGGCAGATGAAACCCCCGCCCCCACAAGGGGCTACACCCAAAAAATGGATCCCAATGGGTTTTCACACTTTTATAAGTTTGGGCCATTTGCGTATGGGGGGTTCATCTTCCAATTACAGCTTCAGGTAGTAAAATAATTTTTCCCCAAGTTTGCTCCCCCCAACTCACTTTTGTTTCCATCTCTCAGGGCCTGAGGCAGTGAGGTGTCCTTGATTGCCAGGCCTGGAGAGGAATTGTTGTGTCTGCCCAAAATGGGAAAGAAGCAGCTCACACTGTGTGTGGAGTTTGGAGTTATACACTAAAGAACTGCAGGACTACAAATATATGGAGAATATAAAAGCTGAAATCCTGAGGCATTAGTAGGAGCACTGAGGGGCTGCACAGCTCCCGGTCCAGGGAGTTTTCTAACCCTGCACCTGCCAAGCCTCCACCCCCTCCTCCTCCAGGGGAACCTTTATAGTCAAACAAAACCACGCTTTTACCTCTTTTATGAAGTTCATGAAGCGGCCGCCGAACCTCCAGGCCTTGTGGCGGTGGCACTGCAGGGAGTTGACGGTCATCTGGGGCGCGCGCTGGTAGCACACGGACACCACGTGCACCGCGTCGTACAACAGGGCAGCGTCTGTCTAAAAGGAAGGGGACAGCGCTGGTGGCCGTGGCGGCTCGTAGGAAAGGGTGGAACCCGCTCTGAGCTACGCCCGCCAGCCCCAGGGTTTCTCTGTCTGTGTTCCCTGGTGGTTCCTTGGTTGTTTAGATCAAAGGCTCGGGGTTTTGTCTAAAATCAGCGATTCTGGAAGCGTCGTTTGTCTGTTCGGGTTGTTTCTTGCACATTTCCTGCTGTGGTGTCAAAGAGGGAGGCAACGGCTTCTAAATGTGGAAGGTAGTAACAGAGTTTTCTTATTGAGTCTGTTTTGTCTGAGTGTAAAAAAAAAAAACTGCACGAGAACATATTTTCTACACTATTTTATACATGGGAAAATAAGAAACAGAGATGTTTGTGGGCACACAGTTTTCCAAAAATGACACAAGCTGTCACCAAAATCAGGACCTCATGGCTTTGTAACATATTCTAGCATTTCAGTGATCTGAACTAGGGAGAACTTTTTTCCCCCATATAATGTGATGATTTTAGATTCAATTTGGGATGCCCCATCTTACATGCAAACACTGATCAAGAGAATTGGATTTATTTTTCACTCTGATGTGGTAAGACCTCCTAGTGAAAATACATTATTTGCTGGCTTCACGGAGGCACGAAACAGATGTGAGTGTAGCAGCAGCGTAATAAACCACAATGAAACAAAATAATACAGCAAATAACTGAGCAAACATCTCACAGGACGTAGCCATGGAGAAAATCCTCCAGCATTGGCAGCCATCCCTTTGACCTTCCCTTCTCTCAGCAACCAAGCATGAAGAGCAGGAGCCCCACCTGCATCCGTGGGCGGGTATGGACCACAGCAGGGACAGGTTTGTGAGTTTGGGGCTGGAGGAAAGGGGAGGCAGGGATATGTCCATGCAATTTCATGGTGAATTACAGACTGTAATGCCCAGCTGAGTCCAGGGCCCCAGTGGATAGACACCTGGCAAACAGAAATCAAAGGCAGGATCCCTCAGAGAGAGCAAAGAGGGGCAGCGCTGGGGACTGAGCTCTGCTGCAGGCAGAGGGGCTCAGCCCTGGGCAGCCTGGGGACAGGCAGGAGAGGGAGGGTCTTTTCCCTAACAACAACCACAACAGCAGGGATCTGTTTTCTTTCAAGGTGAAAGTCTGGGAGGCTTTGCCACTTTGGCTCTGGCAGATCTAAAGGGAGGGGGAAGGAGGGAGCCAGTCAGCAGTTCCGGGGGTCGGAGACAGCCTGGCAGGGAAGGCAGATGGGCGAGCAGGTGCTGTACCTTCTGAGCAGTAACTCAGCAGAGCAGAGCTGCCATCAGACCCTAAAAGGAGTCATCCAAGCTGCAGCTCAGCCCATCTCTGGCCACTGCTTGGCGCTTTCCCCTGCTCAATCTCTGCAAAGCGCCTGGCCCAGCCTGGCTGTGTGCTGTGCTCCCAGCCCTGGGAGCTGGTGTCCCTCTGCTCTCGGGGGCAGCTGGAGTTCTTTGGGACATGTCCTGGCTACCTGCCTTGTCTGGTGGCAATCTGTTGGCAGCTGGACCCGAGCAGGAGCATTACCACAGCAGCAGGGTGTGGGCTTCACCCCAGACTTTGAAGGACAGTTGTTAAAGAATGAGAGAAAGCACCTCAGGACAGATACCTGGGATGAGTTTTTACTAGTACAAAAACCAATAAAAGCAACATTTAGGCCTCAATTGTAGCCACATTTCTCTTCACAGAGAAAAAGCAAGGCACAATTCTTCCCAAGAATATTTCTGGGTTTCACATTCTCTGAACCTCAAAGAAAGGAAAAACAATTCTTATCTCATTTGCTGTGTCAGTGTTGTGCAAAAGTAGAATGCAAAATGGAGATTGTTTACCCAAAGTGAGCGTGTTTTGTTTCCTTGCCCTATCAGGGCCAAGTGTGTGTGTGTGTGTGTCAGGACTGTCAGCTGACAGTCATGAGATTCAGTGCAGTTGTATGCAGAGTTGAGTGCTTGGCAGAGTCAGTTTAGATATAATGTAATATAGAATATATTATATGTATAGAATATGTATAGAATAACATAGTATAAGACAGTAATTAATTAGCCTTCTGATAAGATGGAGTCAAATTTTCGTTGGGGGTGAAAATATCATTGATATTTGACTGTTCCTGCCTTCCTTAGCACCCTGCCCTGCTTCCCAGACCCCTGTGCCCTGTTTGAACTGCCCGTACCATCATCACACCATCCAGAAGCCCCAGCTCTGCCTTGGGCGCCGACTGCAGCCTCTCCATGGACCACTTCTCAATGATGGAGGACACGTGTGGGTTCTCCACGTTGAGGATCCGGAAGCCGGTCAGGTTCACCCCAGAGTAGCGGTATGGTTCTAGGTCTAATGCATAAAGATCCTTAAAAGAGAGAAACCGGGTTAAACATTTTGCTTAGCTTTGTTTTGTTTGAGTTTTCTGCGTCGGTTCGTGTCTGTGTTTGGAGCGAGACAGCAGAGCCCGCAGAAGGTGGGAGGGAGAACAGATCCCTCGGGAATTCAGAGGATTGTGCTGCCTGCTGCCGTCAGTGGTGCTCGCAGAGGGCTGTAGGTGTTGGTGGAATCTGGGTGCCGTATGTGCAGGTTCCCCCACACGCAGCAGAAGGGAACTCCTACCAAAGAGCCAAAGAACCTGGTCTCAGCATGAAAGAGAGTGGATTGTGGGGAGGAAAACAGAATCACTGCCTGTGACCCTGGAAAAAGAGATTGTGACCCAGGGAGGGGAGACAAGACAGAGTTTCTGTATCTGGAGCCTCCACGGGCCTTTCCAGGGAGGATTTGCTGGCAGTGCTGAGGCCCACAGGGTGCTGCGGATGACAGAGTCACTCTGAATGCAAAACACCAATTTGCAGACTATCAAAGAGGAACTAAGACGCATTTCTTGACATTCTGACCAGCCTACACAGTCTGCAGATGAATGAGGGTGCCCTTTTATACGATGTGAAAACCAGAGCCAGGCAGTGCTCAGCTCTGCTGGCTGCCAGCCTGAGAGCACTGCTTGGCAGGCAGTGAGGGGCACTGGGGCTACTGGGGGGCACTGGGGAGCACTGCTGTGCTGCAGCTCTTGGCTCTCCGCGTGTCTGAACACCAGCTTCAGTGCTCAGCAACGAGTTTGGGGTTAGACAGCACGCCAGGAGCATGTGGCAGCTGATCTGCTCCCCAAAGCCCAGCAGCTCACCCGAGGGGGGAGTGAGGGAGTGGTGAGATGGCAGTCAGGGTGAACCGTTTGTTGGGTGGGACATATTTCATCGGTGTTTATCCTGAATGACTTCTGCAAGGGTTTCATGGCAGTTTAGATGTGGGGAGGTGGAAAGGCAACACCGCAAGTCTGCAATGGAGCGTGGGGGTGAATATGTGACATTCTCTGCTCTCACAGGCAGGAATATGTGACATTCCCTGCTCTCACAAGGGCTTCTCAAAAAGAGCTTCAATATGGGATGAGCTGCTGTGGCTGGGGCTGTGCTGGGGTTATTCTGTGCTGTGTGCTGGGGCTGTGCTGGGGTTATTCTGTGCTCTGTGCTGGGGCTGTTCTGTGCTCTGTGCTGGGTTTGTGCTGGGGCTGTTCTGTGCTCTGTGCTGGTGGGACACAGCCACACTGTGGGGCCACCCACCTGCAGCATCCCCCAGCCCACAGGGGGCTGCCAAAGTCCCACATGTGCTGCCCTAAGCAAAGCAGAGCAGCAGCAGCACTTGCCAGCAACTGAGACACCATTCTCCACGGGGGAGTGAGGGTTCCTGTGGCTGTTTTGCTTTAATAAGCTTCTTTGGGGGTTTGATCTTTTCTGTAAGCCTGGCCCTGGCCTCTGCAGCCCCAGGGCTCACTGCTGATGGATGCAGTGCTCAAACCTGCAGGTGCAGCAGGGACCAAATCATTAATCACCCTACAGTGGCAGTTGGGACTTGGGTTTTTGGGCTGTTTTTTAACCCTGAAAAATTGCAAGTGCAAACCTGCACGTTCTGTTAAAGGGCACTGAAAAACCAGGCTATAATGTTGACTTTTAAATGACTTAAGGGAGTTAAGGGCAAATACAGTGGTTTGACCTCAGACAGGTGCTCATGTCTCTGGCTGGGAGGGGGGACAGCAGTTCTGTGCCTGACCTGCTGGAATGGGTCTGTTTTTCCAAGATTCATTTTTAATCAGACACTTCAGCTTGTATTCCAGAAATTGTTGTGAGGAAATAATTTTTGGTTGCAAAAGCTGATGATTTCCCCCTCAGAATGTGACTGGGTGTGACAAATCAGATCCCTGAGCTCCAGACCCCGTGGCCTCTGCTGCCCATGTGTCAAACCACCAGCTCTGGCCACCTCTCAGATCCCACTGGTATTTTGGGTGCTGTCCCTGCCCTGATGCTCCCCACCAACCCTTCCTTTCACCAAGTTCCTATAGAAACCAACCTCCCATCAGATCCCTCCCTGGTTCCAGTTTAAATCTCAGCTGCAGCCTGATTTATCACCTCCTGGAATCAGAGGATAATTCAGAATACCAGCTGAGTGTCAGGACATGGGGAGGTGTGGATGGGAATCATCAGATCAGTTTCTTCTGGATTTTCTGCTCCTGCACAGCCACAAATTGAAACATCTGGTTCTATTTTCCACCTCATCTGCATTCCCTTTCACTCATTATTTTCTGTACTGCAGATTAATTCTCCCTCCACCCTTAATTTTGCTCTCGGTGTTCCTGTGATGCTCTCCCCCAAACCAGGGCAAGCTTGGGCTCCTTGGTGGTGGCAGCAATGCTGGGGACTGATCCTCAGTGATCCCACATCCTCAGTGGGAGGCTGCAAAGGTGGCCCAGGAAGGGCATCCCTGTCTTCTGCTGCCCGTGGGTGAGTGCCCCCACAGCTCTGCCCTGGGATCTGGCAGGGCTTGGCTGTGGCTGCAAAGCCCCATTTTACAGACAGCTGAGACACCCCCACAAGGGTGGAGATCTGGGGCGTTCCCTGCTGGGCTTTGGATGTGAAATCTGCACGTGACAGAGACCAGTGCTCATCAGAGACCCTCCTGCTCCTCCTCCTGTGGTGGAAAAGGCTGATGGGGCTCCTCATGCTGGAGTCAGTGAACTGTAGTCGTGCTGCCTAGCAAAATGTTGAAGCATTTCATGCCAAGTGTTGATACACTGTGCTCGGTATTGACTGGGGACCTTTTAGAAACATTCAGTATAACATAATAGACTAATTCATTAGCACCCCATGGGTCTCGTACTGGGGAAGCTGAAGCACAGGCATTGCAAGCTAGGAAAACATTGCCTTAAGGAATGACAGATTAAAATATCTTTCCCATGATATAACTGTTATTTCAGGAAAGTGGCATTAATTGTGATTGCTTATCTATTAATTTATTATAATTCCTCTTTTCCCACCTCCAGGCTGTACCTACACATGAAATGTACTCCAGGCTCAGCTGGGGCTGATTAATAGGAGGTTATCTGGGAAATGCTTAAAGCTGCCTGGAATAGATAATGGCAGCAGGGGTAATTAAAATGTCTTTTGCATTTGAAAAATAAATTTTGTAGTTTTTAAGGATTAGTTTAGTCTGTTTCTTTCCTAAAGGCAAAAAGATAAATTAGATTTTCAAAATCACGCAAAATTCAACAGTAGACTAGACAATAGAATCTTAAATGGAGACAAAAGTGACCCTGCCAGGAAAGCATTTGGAGTCAGAGAGGACTGGCCTGTGTTTAACAGAGGGGAGTTAATGTCAGGCTCAGCTCCCCTCCTGCAAAATAAACCTGCAGGGCTGGAGCTTGGACCTCAGCAGGGCTGCTCCTGGCTCCAGAGGGGTCCTGGGTGCTCATCCCCAGCTCCTGCAGAATCAGGGTCCCACCAAATCCAGCGTGGGAGCTGCAGCCTTGCGCTCTCCCTGTGCTCACTGTCACTGTGTGGGGAGCTATGCTGGAATCAAAGTGACTGGGAGGGAAAATAAAACCAGAACCCACATCCACAAAGGAGGGACTGTCCCAGGGCAGGGGAAGGAGGGACTGGCAGCTCTCAGGCAGTGCTGCAGAGCAGAGGAGGTAGAGCCAGGTCACTGGGGCCTGACCCTGACCTGCAGCCAAGCCCAGCCCTGTCCTTTCCTCCTGGCAGGGGCCCAGGTCTCCTCTTTCCTTGCATTTCCCATCCCATGGCAGTGCAGGGCACACCAGGATCAGCCACCCATCCCTCCCTCCCCGTCCAGCTGCCCCTCACATCCCACCCCCATCAGTGTGTTTTCTGTGTTTTCTCCCATCCCATCCCCATCGGTGTGTACAGGTTGTTTTCTGTGTTTTCTCCCATCCCACCCCCCATCAGTGTGTACAGGTTGTTTTCTGTGTTTTCTCCCATCCCACCCCCCATCAGTGTGCACAAGGTGTGTGCACAGCCAGATACTTTACCAGAGTGGTGAAGATGAAGTGGTAATATTCTGTCATCATCCCCATTGCCATAGCCTTAAGGAGAGGAGGGAAAAGGGGTTAGTCAAGGGAGACAAGACAGCCATGCAACATAAAACTCAGAGCTCACAGGTAAATGTGGCAGGAGAGGCCCAGAAATGCTGGGTTTGGATTCAGGACTGAGGCTATGGAGCAGTTAAGAAACTGTAAACACCAGGTTTGGATTCAAGATTGAAGCCATGGAGCAGTTAAAAAACTGTAAACACCAGGTTTGGATTCAGGATTGAGGCCGTGGAGCAGTTAAGCCAGGCCCATCAGCAAGAGGCACGTGCTCAAGTGCTGAGCTGAGCAGAGCTGTGGTCCTCAAACCATTCTGAAAGCGTGGCAAAGCCGCAGTGTCCAGCTCCCATGAGGGCTGGTGGCATTTCTGGGTGACACTGGGTGTCCCTGGCTGTGCCAGGGCACTGTGGCACTGTGCTCCTGGCTGCAGGGTCCTCCAGGGCCACAGGCTCTGTTGGCACAGCTGTGGGAGGGGGGCACCTTTTCTTCTCCAATACCAAACCATGAGCAGAACCCCACAGAAACCTGTGAGACTGACCACAAACAGCCTGTTCTTGCAGTCACACATCATGTAGTGGCTAAGAAGGCAGCTGAAAGGGTTTTGATTTCTGACATGAGTAATTCTGTAAGTGCTCAAGCCTTCTGTGTATTCTGAAGATGCACAATGAAAATCAGTGTCAAGGAGTGGAAATTTTAGCAAGATTCTTGTGAGAGCCTTGTTGCCATCCATGGGGGTGGCAGCAAGGCCAGAAGACTCCAGGGACTCCATCCAGCCACATGTCTGCAGAGCTGACTCGTGTAGTGACCAAAATGTTACAAAAGACACATAATAGCAATAAAATATGAATATTACTGATTCTGGCATTAACAGAATCCTGGGTTGTTTTTGTTTTTTGTTTTTTTCAGTCCATTATTTGTTCTGTGCATTGTTCTTGTGCTGCTGTGAAGGGAAGCAGACTCCCCTCCTCCAGGAGATGGCTTTGCCTAGCTCGTACTTTCAGTGGAAAAGAGTTGTTTCACAAAGAAAGTGGCACCTCTGGGGCTCTGCATCCCCACCTTCAGTCCCATCTGTGCAGTGAGTACATGGAGCTCTTGCCTCTGTCCCTCCTTCCTGAGCACAACAGTCAGATCCTGAATCCAGTTCATGTTCTACAGCTGGATCACTCTGGCCATAGCTGAGGAGCCCGGACCCACTGTCAGAAGGAAGCTCCAGCTTCCCAGCACTGGCAGCCTGGGGCAGGATGCATCTGGGTTTGTGGGGAGATGAATAAATGATCATCCTGGTGGATAAGCCAGAGGCAGTGGCTGGGATGAGAGCAGGAGCTCTGTCAGAGCTGACAGGCACAGCTGTGCCCTGCAGAGCTCAGAGGCTGCTCGGGACAGCCTGGGAACAGATCTGGAGTGAGAAGAAGGGACCAAAACTGAGGAAGGATGGAGAATCTGGGGTATAACAGGAAAGCCTCAAAAGCAGGACTCACTCTGTGATAGGTTTCTAAAATTATTTGTTTTCCAAGAGGGCAAAATAATGGTTTGCTCACCAAGAGACCCAGGCTGGAGCAGTAGGTGACAATCTCTGTATAGTTGTGCTGCCTCATGTGGTGTTACTCATGGATTACTAATCCTTGGTGGTTTTTACTACTCCAGTTTAAAAAACCTGCCCAGATGATCAGTGCTGTGCTGTGGGAGCATGGAATCATGAATCTCTGGGGAGCAAGATCCTGACTGGCACGATGGTGTGTGCACTGCTCAGTCAGAGCTGCTCAACCAGCACAGGCTGCAGGTGCTCAAACCTTCTGGGTTTTCTGAAAATGTGCAATGAAAATCAGTGTCAAGGAGTGGAAATTTTAGCAAGATTCTTGTGAGAGCCTTGTTGCCATCCATGGGGGTGGCAGCAAGGCCAGAAGACTCCAGGGACTCCATCCAGCCAAATGTCTGCAGAGCTGACTGGTGTAGTGACCAAAATGTTACAAAAGACACATAATAGCAATAAAACATGAATATTACAGATTCTGGCATTAACAGAATCCTGGGCCTTCCTCCTTGGGTTGTTTTGGGTTTTTTTTTTCAGTCCATTAGTTGTTCTATGCATTGTTCTTGTGCTGCTGTGAAGGGAAGCAGACTCCCCTCCTCCAGGAGATGACTTTGCCTAGCTCGTACCTTCAGTGGAAAAGAGTTGTTTCACAAATAAAAGTGGCACTTCTAGGTATGCATTTCTTGCTACAGGTAGAAAAGTGAGGAAAATATGAGGTTTCTACACCTCCTAGTCTTCAGCAGGTGCAGGTGACCTGCAGGTCGTGGTGCACTGCTCTGAACCTGCTTGATGTTACACACCAGAGTGGCCAGGCATGCAGAGAGCAGTCAGGCTGTGGTTTGGGTTTGTGCAACTTCCCAGACTCTGAAAAATACACCAGTATTTCCTTGAGTAAAAATACACAGTCTTTTATTGCTAAGCTGAAATCCATGGCTTCAGGTCCTGACAAAACCCCGACACACACACACAAACCCAGCCAGAAGGACTTAGAGAGACTTGTCTCCCCTAGTCCCCCCTCTCCTCCATCTTCCTCACTCTGCACCAGCGGTGATGAGCTGAGCAGATGGCACAATAAGCTATAATAAACTGTATAATAAGTGAGCAGCACCAAACACAACCAGCACAGGAAAATAACTGGCAGGAGACAATGAGCCCCTTCTATTGCTTCCCATAATAATCCCTCCCAGGCTTTCCAAGTTGTCTGAACTTGGAAAGTTCATTTTGTGTCATGCAGGCTGCAGGAGAAGGCTCTTGCCTTGTGCTTGCTTTCTCATCCCTGCAGGGATTTATTTAGTCTGTGTGGTGGTGTAATGCTGGGCTGATAGGAGCAACACTTCCACCAGCTGGTTTTTAGCATCTCTGTGAGAGCCTTTTCCTCTGCCTCACATGGACCCTGAAACCCAAAGGCACTCAGGAATGAGGAGGAGCTGGAGTGAGCAGCAAGAATTCCAGTGGAGGAACTTGTGGAGGAAGAAAGGAGGGAGCCCAAATGAATGGAAAATCACTGACATCTGGCTTAAAGTCCAAGAATTGCAGACGCTGCTGGGGAAAGGACAGAGGATGAAGTCCCTCCTGGCTGGGAGAGCCAGCTTGAATGAAGGGAGAAGGGGAAAGAGGGAAGAAGGCTGGGGCTGTGCAGCTGCAGGGAGAGCCACAGAATTGTCCAGCACCAGCCTGGGCTGGGCGCTGCATTCAGCACAGCCCCTTCTCCTCCTGTAACATTTGTTTGTTCTCACCCACAGCCACTTTTTGGTACTTCCAGTTTTTCAGTGAAAACACCATTTTCTGTAGAAATCCAGCAGTGTCCTTGGAGGATGGACATGCTGTAGCTTTTGGTGCGGCTGTGGATTGCCAAGGGAAAGCTGCAGCCAGGGTGGGGCCACTCTTCATCACAGCCACCCCTCACCCATGAGCTCCATGAGCCACCCCTCACCCATGGCTCCCATGAGCAGACTTTGCTGTCCTGCTGGCCCCCTGCTCACCTGCTTGAGGATCTGAGCTGCCATCAGGTGGCTGCAGTCGAAGATGATGCGGAATTCCCGGCCCCGCTTCATCTCCTTCAGCAGTGGCCGGGCATCGTCGGTGTCCAGCGGGAGCTGGCGGATCTTCAGGCGGATGTTGTAGCGGGACGGGGCCATGATGAGCTCCTGCAGCCGTATCAGGCCTTCAGGTGTCACACAGAGACAAACCCACAGCGTTACAGGTCTGCCTTCCCACTGCTGGGCCACAGCAGTTCAGTGCTTCCCCTGTTCTCCACGGAATGGGGTCAGGACTGACATCCATCCATCCTCCATCCATCCATCCATCCATGATTCCATCCATGATTCCATCCATCCATCCATCCATCCATCCATCCATCCATCCATCCATCCATCCATCCATCCATCCATCCATCCATCCATCCATCCATCCATCCATCCATCCATCCATCCATCCATCCATCCATCCCTCCTTCAAAAGGCCCTTGCCAAATCAAAGCCAAGGTGCCACACGTCAACCATTGACCCCAGAGGAGCTGTTCTAGGACAGAACGGCTTTTCCTGGTGGTTCCCTGCCACCACTGCAGCCAGTAGAGCTGGATGGGTCCCTGCACTGGGTAGGAAGGGGAGAACAGCAGGTTGGTCCTAACCTCAGACACCTCTGGGATCACAGAGAATTTCCTTAAGCAGATGTGCCCTTGAGAAAGGACAGGATGTGATAATCAGCTGCACAACAAATTAAAATCTGCATATTTACCATGCACAGCAGCAAAAGGAAAAAATGAATATGCACTTGGATTTATGAGTCGCGTAGATCGTAACGGTCACTTAATCACAACTCGTAACTTCCTACTACCCTCAGAAATCATTTCTGTTTCCTGCACAAGGCCAAGGGCCATGGTGGACGCAGCTGAGCAGGAATTATTGGAATCTGATTTGCAAGGAGAATTTCAGCAGATGCCTATTGCAAGGGGGAAGAGAGAAGCGTGTCCCTCTGCACAGAGGAAACACGCTAGAATATGCCACAAAGGGAACATACTGTGACCCACATTTGCAAAACAGGAATGTCAAACTGTGTTCTCATCAGCCCTCCCCTAAAGAAACCATTTGGTTTAGTGAAATTAGGTTGGACAGGCTATCCAATGTGGCTTTTGTTTTTTGGGGGGTCTATATCTAGAGCTGTGCAGCACTTTGTTTTGTTTAACCATCAACAGCTTTCCTTACATGAAGAACTTTGCCAGCTCTGTGTTACAGAATTATCCAGAAAACATAAAAATCTTTCCAGAACTGCTTTTGGTTTTAGCTGGGAACTGCTCCCTCCATGGCAGCTGTGGACAGGGGCTTTTCTGTTGCAGAGGGGCACCACAGTGCCAAAAGAGCCAGGCTGAGAAGGTCACCCCATGCCAATGAACCCCCCCATGACCCTCTGCCAGCTCACGGCCCCATTGCTGGAGCTTTGTGAATGAAATGCTTAGAAATCTCCCAGGGCCTCCCACAGCACTGTCTGGAGCTCTGGGAACCCATCACTACACGGGGCATCGTTTGGCTCTCGAGAGGGTTCATTGGAAAAGCTCCCAAAGAGACCCAGGACAGAAAATCTCCAGGATTCCTTCTCTGAGCCCCTCCTTTACCCACCTGTGCTGTCGTCGTACACCACGGTGGCTGACCTCCATTTCAGGTACTGCACCAGGTCCAGGATGGCGTGGCTCAGGGAAGCATAGTCAGGATACAGGTTGACATAGAAAGTGTCCTTGTTATCCAAAGGGTGATGCTTCCACCGGAGCTGTATGTGGGGCACTTCCAGGGCGTTGCAGATAGACTGGACAGCGTTGGTGCACGAGCCTTGGGAAGGTCCAAATATTGCAACCACCCCCAGAGCGAGCTGGTCACAGGCTGGAGGGGCAAGGAAGGGATGTCAGGAAAGCCTGGGGGGGGGCTGTGCATGGGGCAGCCATGGGCAGAGCCCAGACACTTGTGGGCACTGACCCAGCACTGATATTGGGTAATTGCAGCAGTGATTGGGCACAGGGAGAATGATTTATGCCAGGTGGGTATAGACTGGTGGGTAGAGGTGCAGAGGAGTGTCAAGCTCCTCTCAGGGAGCCTCCTCCACAAAACCATCTGAAAAGGGGCTGGGTAGAGGCACAGAGGAGTGCCAAGCCCCTCTGAGGGAGTCTCCACCACAAAACCATCTGAAAAGGGACAGGGGGCCACTGGGCTGGCTGGGAGCAGAGGGCTCCCTCCTGCTGATGTCCCTCCAATAGCTGCCAGCTCAGGCAGCAGGTTTCCTTTCTCCCCAGCCAGAATCAAACTCCACGAGCCCTCAGGTCACCAGCTCGCAGCCTTTGCTGTGCAGTCCCTCCCCTTCAGCAATTCAAGTGTGCTGCTGTTATCCAGTAATCAAAAGTGACTCTTATTAAGAGAACAGAACATCCACACGATGGATGTGAATACTGCCAGGGATGCAGCAGCACAAACACAGGCATGGCCTCCAGACCTTTGCTCAGGATTAGAGCAAATGCTGAAAGGAGTTTTCTGAGGTTTCAGAGGCAAAAAAGGTAGTTGTTCCCCTTGTATGTATGTGCTGGAAGGTCAGCTCCAGCAGGAGCTCTCATCCAGATCACTGGTGAGAGCAGGACAGAACAAGCTGCTGGGCAGGAAACCAGACCTTTCTTCTGCTGAACAAATGGCCACAAAACTGCTCAGAAGTTTGCTCTGCTCTTACCTTTCTTAGTTGCTTCAAAGCTGTCGTGGAAGTGTATCCTCTGGATGTCATAGGTCAGGGTTGTGTTGGGCAGCAAAGTTCTGTTCCTGTTAATGATGTTGGCGGAGAATCTGAAGGCTTGCTCCTCAGCACTCATCACCTGCGTGTTGGGGCCATCTGCGTACTCAAAGATTCCTCCTGCAAGACAAAAAAATCCACCCTTGAGCCACAGCTTGTTTCACAAACTCATGCAGCAGGGATGAGAAAACTCTTGGAATGTTCGCAGGTGGAGCAGGACTTGCTTGAGGACCCATCCTGCCCTGAAATGAAGATGTGAAGATTTGAGTTTTTCTTATATTCTGGTCCATGAGAATGTTCAGGGTGGCAGCTTTGTGGGGCAGTAACAGGTGGTTTAAAGTCTTGGAATATTTTTACAAGCTAGATAAGTGGCTTCCCATAAAACTTTAGGACCAGACCATGGGAAGAGAACAGGCTTATTGCCCATGCTCTGTGCTCTGGGGAGTCACTGGATACAAAACTGCACTGCCCTCCTCTTGAAATCCTCCTGCCTCATCACCCATCTGGTCCTTGCACGGGAGACAGGCAGGGCAGTGCTGCTGCTGGTTATTTTCAGTGCCATTTTCAGCCCCCTTCTCCTTTTCTATTGTTCCTCATGTTTAGTTGTCCAAGTTTTTAATTCAGACCAGCAGAGACTTCTGGATTTGCCTACCCTACAGCTCCTCTGCTCAGTAATGCACATCTCGGATGCAGCTTTCCTGTGTTCAAAAGTTGTTAATGCCATTACACCTCCCCAAGGGCAACAAGCTCATGTCACAGCATCGCTGGGTTTCTTGGCTCTGTGTCTGTGAGTCTTGTCCTCAGTTCCCACTGACAGCCACTCTAATTGGAGTGACTTGGTGCAGGCATGGGTTATGTAATGATTTGTCCTTGTCTCCGAGATGCAGGAGCCACCCTGAGCCCCTCACAGAGCCACAGAAAGACACAAACCTTGCTCTATCTTATTCAAAAGTAAAGCAAAATAATTAATGGATGAGCGAAATAAGCAAGTACAATTGGTAACAGATGGTCTCAGGGTTCATTAGCAGAAGGAAAAAACCTTCCTCTTCAATTTAAGATAGTCCTCAAATGTTTTCTTGTAGACAACAGATGTCTGCTCAGCCCTGCTGGCTTTCAGGCAATGCCATGAATCCTCCTCCAGCAGCCTGAGCACATTTCCTATAGTTTTGTGGCAGTTTGGTGCTAGCCAGGAGTTCCAGTTTGGCCAGAGCCAAGCTGACAACTTGGCTGATGGCCATGCTCTGGGTGTCCTCCCAGGAGTGTGACCAGAGCCATGGGTGAGGCACAGGAGTGATGGCTGGAGATGTTCTCAGCAAGGAAGCAGAAGGACTTGCAAAAAGCCTCTGACTTTCTGCTCCCCTTGATTGTGACAAGTCCCTTTCCTCCTCTCCCTCTGCAGTCTTTGTGCATCCTGTCCCCAGTTGTGAAGCGAGGGTGGGAATTAATTTCCATTCATAGACATAAAATAAGTTTGATCTGTTTCCTGCATGTCTCTGCTAGAAAAAAAACACTGAACTCAGTGCTAATTTTGGTAATAGGCAGAAGAATAAAGAAAAAAGAGGCTGAGTGCTCATTCTGGAGTGTCATTTCAGTCTCACGTGATTTTCAGCCACTCACTCATGGGCAGGTTTTCAACCCAGAACGCTGAGCAGCGTAGGCAGGAGTGTAGCAGAATTGTCCACGTGCCTCATTCTCACTGGATTATGCCAAAACATTTGGGTTTTGACTGGTGCAAAGAAAATTATTCATCCACATCAAAGTTTGCATATGCTGGCAGCTCAGCTTAAGTTTCTTAGGGCAGAAGAAAGTTCATTTACAATATTAAATCAGATGCAATAAACAAAACAAAAGTGAGTGTGAGATTCACCCCACCTCTCTGTTCAAAGCTTCCCTGTCCAGACTGTTTAGCCAGGGATTTTTTGTTTTCTAGCATTGTCCTGAAGTGATAACTGGTAAATGTAACATTGATTATCCACTAGCTGGCATTAGGCTTTCTCCCAGCCCAGCGCTTTCAAAGTTGCATTGGAGCATGTCTTATTATGAAAGGATACAGAAGGGCTGGGAATTTGGATTATTGGTGCTTGATCCTAAATAAATTCCCATTCCAGACATCCAGCTGGATGTAATAGGCTTTTTGGCAGGAAAGAATTTTCTGTGCAGCCACCCAGCACCTTGAGCTCAGGGCCAGGTGATGAGAGAGCTGACAGGCAGCAGGGATGTGTTTCTGTGTGTTTCCCAGTGCTGGGAACACATCAGGAATACTCTGGGACATTGGGAATCTCCCTGAGGTGCTGAGGGCAGCCACAGCATGCCCCAGCTCAGAAACTGGTGAGACTGGGAGCACCTGATGTCAGATCTGTGCACAGCACACCCCGCTGGATCCTCACATCGCTCTTGGCTGCGCGCCGCTCCTTCAGAGACGTTCACTCCCATCTTTATTTAAAGAGCCTAATAACTGGCTTGAAACAGCTGATTAATGCATAATCTTCATCATGATTACACAGCATAACTGGCATTAATTTGCAAAGCCAGCTAATTATGAAAATAATTGTTGCAGTTCTTCCATTTGAGCAAAATGGAGACGCTCAGCTCGTGGCACTGAGAGCAAGAGGGGTGTGACATCAGCTGGCTGATGGTGGGCTGGGGGACCCCAGGGGTGCCCTGCAAGCCTCAGCAGGAGAGATGAAGGAGCAGGGCTGGGAAATCTGCTGCTGAGGGCTGGACAGCTGTGGGCAGCTCCAGCTGATCCCACAGGGGCCTTGGGCAGAAACCTCACCTGGCTTCACAGAGATGAGAGTCGATGGGTGTGAAAAGCTCACAGCAAAAGTCTCCACTTTTATACTCCTCATATTGACAAATCCCACCCAAGAGAGTAGAACTGGGGCTCCTTTAGTGTTGCTGTCCCTGTCTAAACCTATTTTGGAAGCTAGTTCCCATGCTGGAGATCACTGGATGCTCTGTGGGGCTCGTGGCCTTTCCCATTCTTTCCTGTCTGTGCAGGAATCAGCTTCTCATTCCTTCTTTCTTCCTGTCCCATGGCTTGGCAGAGAGATAAAAGATGTCCGTGACAAGGTCTGTCATGCTTTGTGACATCCTCCTGAGGTTCATGAGAGGATTTGCTGCCTGATTTATGTGTGCTGCTCCTTGACCAGTCAATAGAGCCCGAGGTCTCCCCACTGCAGCACTGAAGTTTATCAATTCAGGCTGGCTTTGTTTTCTTAGATATTTTTCTCTGGAAACCTTTTTATGCCATGTTTGGGGGGCCTTTGGGGCAGTGGGATCTAGGACTGGGAGTCAGCCTTGTAGGAGATGCCTCACACAAGCTGTTGAAGGCTTCCAACCCTTATCACTTATTTTACATATTTTTTGATGAAGCAATCCATTATTATATCTGACTTCTCGGATTTTAAAATCAATCCCAGGCAGGTTAAATAATTATTCAGTTGTCTTTTACTCTTAAAGCAGACTAATTGCTCTCTGGAGAATATCAGCCAGCATATGGGAAAACACACTAATTACAATCAGCTTCATGTCTGACTGTTTTATGTTATTTTATTTGATGACCTCGATGTTGCTGTTAAGGTGAGGAGTTTTCAAAATCTGAAATGAGATTCCAGAGAAGTGCCTGAAACTCCCTTAGGGTCTAGACCAGAGGAGCAGTAGTGGGGCTGGGCAGGCAGAAGGTTCCTGGCCTGGCACAAGGAGAAGTTTGGCTGAAAACCGCAGAAGCTCTCACTCAGAGAAGCAGAAACTGAGCCTCTCTTCAGGGTAAAACCTGGATCCCACAGAACACCTAAAATCCCATTGATGGCAATCCGAACAGGCCCAGCTCTGTCTGCATACAGCAAAACTGCACTGCATTCTTGTGTCCCCAGGGATGGTGCTGGAAAACCTTGGGAATGGTAAATGACCCCTGGACTATGGGCTGGGAGCTCTCTTCCCCTGCTCCAGTGATCCCAGGACATGGCTGCATGGGCTCGGTGCCAGTGCAGTTATTTTTAGCTTTGTCAAGAGCTAAGTCAAGAAAGTCAAAGTATTTTAGGTTTTCATTTCTCCCCTCTTTTGCTTTTTACCAAAACAAACAGCTTTCATTCTCAGAAAGAAAATTCCAGCAGCCCTCAGCGTGCGGTGTGATCTCTTATCTTCTATTCCTTATAAATCACGGAGTTACTTAGCTTTGAAGAACAACTATTTCTGATAACACTTTTCTCTCCCCCGCTGACAGTGTTGTTCACACATTTAGACAGCTCTGACAGCCTCTTTCCATGTGACATCCGGGAAGAAATACCTGGTTTGAGACAGCTCTCACCGAGGATGGAGCTGGCAGAGCTCCTCAGGGACACGGGAGCTCCCGCTCCCTCTCACAGCCCTTCCATGCCCAAAGCTGTGTTTTTTGTGTTTTTTTTTTTTCTCTGAGGTTATAAAATGTTTTTGCTGTTTCCTCCTGAGGCATGGAATTTGCCCTCTTCTGAGGACAAATCACTCTGTTTTGGGGACAGTATTAGCAAATGGGCCGATGAGGACAGGTACACAGAATTTAGTGCCTTTTCCAGCAGGATGCTGCTCCACAGCTCCCTGAGGCAGAGAGTGGAGAATCTATGGAGAGTCTTCCTCACAGAGCTGCCTCCCTGGGAAAGCTTGGAGAACCTGACACTGCTGCTTGGCTGACAAATCCAGTGGGGACAATCTCACTGTCATGGCCCAGGCCCCCTGAGAGCTGCTGTTTATACAGCAGCATTATATAGAGAAATGAGATAACACTGCTGGGAAGTGAAAGAAAGTTCCCTGGAGCACGAAGTTGTGTCTGGGAATGGGGCTTCAACTCCCAGAACCTGCCCATCCTGCGGGATTGTGGCAGTCTCAGGTGCAATAATAAGGATGCAGAGAGAGCAGGGAAATCCAGAAGGCAATAAACATCAGCAAAACAAAAAGGGAAAACAACGACAGATTTATTCACAAGAAATCTCTCCTTGCACCTTCCCCCAGGGAGCTGCTGCAGTGAAATGCTCCAGGAGTGTGCTCCAAGGAGCTGGTCCTGTGCTCACCTGGCACAGAGCAGAGCCCCCAGCTCTGGTGCTGATGCCAGCTGGTCCCCAAACAGAAACAACCCCACCCCATAA